CTCTTCCTCCTCCTCGCTCCCTCCCTCCCTTCCCTCCCCTCACCCTGACCATTTCCCCCTCCTCTCTCCCTCCCTTCCCTCCCCTCACCCTGACCATTTCCCCCCTGCTCGGGTCATGACCCAACTGTGCAGCGCCTTGGGACGTCCTCCTGACGTGAAAGGCGCTCTATAAATGGAATCTTGTTGTTGTTGTTGTTGTTGTTATTTTGACTGATTTCATTGGGTGGAGGGATATTGTTCATGAGTCTTACATTCTCACCTGCATTTCAAATTCATGGCTTAGTTTTTTAAACAAATAGCACTGCTGCAATCTAATCTCACATCCTGTGATGCACACCGACCCATCACCGCATCATCAATGGAGAAACACAATAAATCAACGCTCCCCACCCACCACCCCCACCCCAACCCGTCAAACAACTTTCTTTCCTTGTGAAAATATTGCTCTTTAACCTGTGCCGCCCGACTCCCCAGCAGAGAAGTAAAGATTTCGGCACAAGAAGTTGCTGATGAGGCGCTTACTGAGTCATTGCACGTCCTGGATCAATGGGAATTGATCTTAACCTGCCAGTCATCAACTTTCTCCTGATCGGGGACTGCATTAACAGGTCTATTGGATCTCCACCTCCAAAATTTTGCATTTATAACGGTTCGGAAAAAGAGCTTAGCTTGTTTTCCAGGGTCAAGGCGGTGATTTGTTTTCACATGAAATTGTGGGTCCCTTGCTCTTAATATTAATGTATTTGGCAATAGATAAGTAATCTTCGAAGCTTGCACCTCCTGGGATAATATAAAACATGCTGACATTGCCAACCGGTGTTGACAGATGAATAACATAAAGATAGATTTGAAGACAAATTAGTATTCGGAAAAACCTGCGCCAACGTGGGTGTATTTTAATGCAAATAATGCCAGGTAATGGGTATTGGAATAAGAAACGTAGATGTGCATTGTTCAGGAAACAAAGGAGGTGTCCATTAGCAGACATGGAGAAAGAAGCAAAAAGGATTAAGGTTTGATTAGCGATCACTGACTGAAGACTTCAGGTCAATGTAAAGGTACTGTCAGCAGAGTTCATCACGTATTGGTTGGAATCTGTTGGGTATTTAATTACGAGGCAAGATACGACATTCATAAATCATTGCCAAAAGCCATGTTTGGAATAAAAGGATGTTGAAGCTTTATGTAAACTCTCCTTGGCAGGGGAAGAGGGAATACAGGGAATAACAAAGATGATTCTGGGTCTCGAAAATGTTGAGAGGCAGAGACAAGCTCAGATCAGAGCTGTGGAACATGAGTATAAAATTAAAAGCCTCAAACAGGGCTGGAGATTAGAAGAATTATCTACGGAGTGTGGTGCAGACCTTTATTAATAGCAGTGGATGTTGCTTTGATTCACAACCTTAAAAAAAGAACTGTGTAAGTATGTGCCTGAGAATGGTATTTGAGGATCTAGGGATAGCTGCTGATGAACAAATACCAACAGTATGTGATACGCAATGGATTTCTGTGCTTTCTCAACACAGAATGCGCTTATACAGTATATATTATAAAGACAGCAGATGTCTGGCACTGCATTTGTTTCGTTATTCATGGACTGTGCAAAGCTTCACTGTCACGTTCCTAACATCAGGACTGTTCAATTGAATTCCTGGGCCTGAAGCTGACTGCCAGCTGTCTGTTATCCTATAATTATGCGACACGCGTGTTCTGCAAACTGTGAAGACACTTTAATATCTCCTGCATCTCTGATGTTTTAACAACATGAATTATTTAAGCTTTATTTTATTTTAAGCATGTGGTATAAATCTATTATATGGCCAAGCGTGAGGTATGTTTAAATCTTGTATCTTGCACTCCAGCACAAGGTGAAGTTGACGATGCCTTATAACGATGCAATAACTTTTAAGATATATATTATCTAAAAACATTAACTTGGTATGGGCTGTGAGTGGTTATGAATTTATGACTCTCCCAAAAACCAAATAGTTGGAATCAGTAACCTGCCTCCTTTCGGGAAAATAGCACTAATACCCTCGCCCAAGCAAAGAATGTTTCAACATAGATTTGTTAATCTGTCCGTCTACTCTTAGGGCACGGTGTTGTGCCTAGATTATTAACTCGCAAAGAGTCACTTGGACACTCCCATGTGAAAGGCGCCATATAAGTTTGTTGTTGACTTCAGTTAACTCAGTCTCCAGACTTAAACTCTCTCCCTATATTCACAATATGATGTAGGAACTAAAAAGACTCTCCCTCTCTCATCTGCTGTCCAACTCGAGTCAACGTTCCCACTATTTTATCCAGTTGTCAGTAAAGGAGATAGTTGCCTGTCACTGCAAACTTTAGACTCTTGTAGTTAATTATTGCCTTGAGGATCACAGAAATGAAGGTTGAGGGATTTGGAGTGCACACAGTATCATTTGGTAAACAAGTATAGCTCGAAAAATGCAGTCAAAATATATTATATGCTTATTATACCTTTGAGCTAAGTTATTTTAAATAAAAACACAGGAAATGTTCTCAACCATCCCTCACAGGCCTGTACTTTGTGATATCAACAGCAACTTCAGTGTCTGGTCCCCTGCTAACATCACTCACATTCACCACCAGAGATTGATGACTGATAGCAACTCGCAACTCTTTGTTCTTCAGACAACCAGTTTTGTCGTTGTTTCGTTCCAGCCATGTCACAATAACTACAGCTAGGAATTCGAAGCTGCCATCCTGTTCAGTTAACAGCGTAAACTGTGAGACTGACTCATGAGTGTGCTTAAGTTTGAACTTCACAATGTCCTTTTCATTCTTCAGTTCATCTACAAATACAATAAATATTGCAAAGTGTTTTGAGACAATGTGACAACATGATCATGTGCTGTATGTAATGCCAAGGTTATTTTATTGTTATACTATCATATTATTTTCCGATAATATATTTAGTCATTTTATTTTCTGCGTCTGACTGGAGGCTGATTTAACTAAAATAGACAGATGAACAGCTCTTTAATAAAACATGGTGGGAAAGCTTAGTGACAGACATGATGGGCTGAATGGCCTCCTTCTACACTGCATACGCCCTGTGATTCTGTGCATACCAGCAAAAGTGTGTGTGTTATATTCTTTGGGAATGTATGCTGTGCAATATTAAATGAGATGGTCAGTGTTATGCCATGAAGAATAAACTTGAAAGCTTTCCTGATGGAACCTGCAGTCAAGCATTGCACAAAGACTCAATCAATAAGCATTGGGATAGAAATGGACACAAAATCAAGCACACTTGCACTTTTTAGTTGGTGCACAGAGAAAGATCGAATCAAATTAGTATTCAGTGCACTCTCATGGGGTGTTGGAAGCAGTGAATGGGGAGGTATCGATAAATGTCGATATCCATTTTAAAACTGAAAAGCGCAAGGCTGGCAACAGGACTGCGGATAGAAATGGGAGGTCTTCACAAAGCGACAACAATAACCTGATTTAATGTAATTTGCTCCCTGTGCACCTATCTGTTTATCTTATCTGCATCATTGAATAAGAAATTAACAGATGTGTGGGACTGATATCGAGACTGCAATTTCATTCCTGGATTCAGGTGATAGTTTATGAGATTTTCTGAAGCCGTGTGTGAGATTACTGCATTGGACTCACTCCCAGGTATTTATTATTCTCAATAAAAATCCAGCGGCTGCAAATTGTGAATAATATCCTGCCAGGCAGATTGATTGATGGGGCAGATGACTGCTATGTTTCCCAGTAAACCTATTCTGTATAGCCATGACACTCACTTCATGGGTACAAACTCCTGTCATCAAATTTAGCTCTCGTATTTGTGCTTGTCAGCCGACCCAACTTCTCCCTCCAGAGGTGGCAGATCATCCAGAATTCTGCAGCCCATGTCCTCTCCCGCACCAGGCTCCGGTGACCCTATCACCCCCATCCTCACCCGACTCCACTGACTTCCCATCACACAGAGGATGCAGTTCAAGATCCTGGTTCTCACCTTCAAAGCCCTCCATGGCCTTGTTCCCCCCATTTATGTGACCTCCTAACCCCCCACAACCTGCCCGCTCCCTCCATTCAGTGGGCTCCGACCTGCTTCATGTCCCCCACCTTTCCCATCCCACCATTGTGGGTGGACCTTCAGCCACTCTGCCCCCACCCTCTGGAACTCAATTTTGCAGTCCCTCCACCCCACCCCCTCCCTCGCCTCCTTCAAGACCCAACTCAAGACCCTCCTCTTCGACCGTGCTTTCGATCACTCTCCTTTTCCTCCTGCCCTCCACCCTCCCCAATCGCAACCCCCAGCTTGGGTCCGAAACACTGACTGTCCAGCGCCTTGGAAAGTCCTCCCGACGTGAAAGGCACTATACAAATGTAATTTTGTTGTTGTGGTGGTGGTGGTGGTGACCAAATACTCATAGGAAACTTGGGACTAAACTCATAGAATTCTGTTGTGATTTTTTGCTTCTTTAAAGAAACCCACCAAGATTTCCCTTTTTCATTTGTTTGTGTGGTATTGTTATGCGCAAATTGGTTGCCCTGTTCACGTACAAACTAGACTTTGCCATAAATCCTGTGAAGCACTTTGAAACATCGCCTGATTTGAAAGGTGCTATATCAATGCAAGTATTATTATCAGTATAAGCTATATTTACATTCAATCTAGTGGATGTATCTTTATGCAGAGCATTGGCAGGATATGTGGGATGTTTCACTACAGATGGCTGTCAAAGCCATAACAGACTATGAAAGGGAATTAGATAATTGCATGAAGGAAGAATAATATTAATGGACAAGGAGAAGGGGGAAAGAGTAGGGGGTTGTGGTTAAACTAGTTAGCTGCAGTGGAAGAGACAGTGCTGTCAAGAACAATATGATGAAAGTCCCCCTCCTGTGTGGTAAACATGTCATGTTTAGAGCAGTAATAGCGGTACAGTCATTTACAGCTAGACATAAAAATAATAAAATTAATCCTTGCATTTGATATAGCACCTTATCACATCTTCGAAACGTTTCAAAGCATTTCACAGAATATACGGTAAAGTGAATTGAATAGAATAATGTATTACACCCTGGCACAAAAGGCTATGCAACCAAGTTGTTCGCTAATTTATTCTCTTTTTAACTCCAGACAAAGGAAAAAAGCACAAGAGGAGAACATAACAGCTCCATATTACAGTTCTCGAGTTTATCTGAATTCTAACTGGCTGAAGTTCCAATTAGCAATTGATCGCGATGCACTCTATCCTCGATCAGACCCTCTTATTGATCGTCTCGTTGAAGATCTAGCAGGTCTTGGCATTACTGAAGCTGGTAAGGGATCACAACATTTCTTTGTAATAAAGTATATAAACTTTATATGGTTTCCAGTCAGCTAGGAGCAACATAGGTTTGCGGAAACAATTTCTTAATCTTTTAAAATAATATTTAACGCAAATTGCAATCATAATCACGTTGATGTCTTCATTATCAGAAGACATTTTGTTTCACTCCTGGGAGCTGGGCATGAATCTTTGTTGACATTCTATCAAAAGCTTTAACTGGTCATATATTTTATTGTGTATTTGTTTGGAAGATGTGACAACTTTCTATACTTTGGGGAGATTTGATAAATTTCATATGAAAATATCGTTTGATATGAAAATATCTTTTGTAAAAAATAAAATAGTTCAGGTTTTATAATCGGCGATTTTTATGCTTACATTTGCAGATCACACTGCTGATGAAAAGGCTTTAAATGGAAAATGTGACTGCAAGAAAGGTACAGTAAAAAGATGTTAAACTCACTTCAAGTTAAAGAGGCCAAATACTCGGGTAGTAGAAGTATAAAGGAGTATGGGGAGAGTGCGAAGCATTGAGATTGAAACATCTGACAGGATTTAATAAACTGGTGGAACAAGTTGATGGGCTGAATGACCTCTCCTGTTCCTGCTTACCTGAGTTTCTTTCTCTATGTTCCTTGGGTTCAATGTGAATTCCTTTATTTGGATTACTGAGCCAAGTGTAGAGCCAGCACTGCTGTTAAGTAAATTACAGAACACTTAAAATATCCCATCATAAGTCAACAACAACTTAAAAAGCACCCTTCACGCGGAGTGGCATTTTGGAGTGTTTAACAATGACAGAATGTGACTCAGTGCTGGGGAGAAAGAGAAGGTGACTGTAGGTACGGGATCGAAGAGGAAAGTCTTCAGTTGTGATCAAAGCCAACCAGTAATGCTCTTTTGTACAGTGATAGACTAAATGAAAGGAATTTGCAACTCTTCATATGAACTAGAAAATAAGTAAAGCCACCAGATGAAAACTGGTGATGGGTGTTTCTGGAATTGTGCCTTGTATGTTTTTGGTCACTTTGAGTGGGCGAGTTTTTACAGACAGCATTTTATTTGTGTTGTGTTTGCACTGGTTGAGAGTAAACTCTACACCCAACCTTTTCTGAAATGGGATGTGTGCGCCAGCAAAAATGAAAAATAACAGCTTGATTTTATTTCGCACAAAGTTAGTACTGTATTGAAAGTGCAATAATCCAACTCACAGTCAATTTTAGTCAATTAACTTTAGGCTTGGAAGAATATAAGGGTCACGTATTCAATCAAGAGAACCTGTTACCTTCCCTTGGGTGAGACGTAAGACTGTTCAGGAGGACATTAATGTTCCCACGGCACTATTCAAAAAGAGAAGTTCACAGCTGTTACTATGCACAAAATTGGCTGTGGTATTAGCCAACAAAACACGCAGTCACTGGCAGTATATCCTGTGAAGCGCATTGGGATGTCCTCATTGCTTGAAAGGCCCTATACCAAAGGTGATGATTATTAATATCATCTTCAATACAATTCCGAAGCTAACGTATCCAGTTCTATTTCAGAGAAATAAACCAGGTTAGTATTCACTGCTGTTCCTGTGCGATCCAATTGGTTTAGGATAACGTGTTTAATTGTTTCCACTGTACAAATGCATCAAATACAAGGATTATCATCAGGATTATTTATCTATTATGATCATTCACTTCCGTGTTTTTCCTCCGAAGTTGTGAAGCCGAGTGGGATCCAACTGAAAATACTCCTGAAATTTCAGAACTTTGGAAAAGCAACGTTCAAGCCTATGAAGTGAGTTAATATTTTGCTAGAACATGTCTCCAGAATCTCGAGACTTTGGGGAGAATCATTCAGATTGAGTAACATTTTCCTCCATTTGAGTGGGGCCACACTTAAAGTGACAATAAAATTCCTACACAGATGTTACAGCTTTGTCTGTGGTGAACCAAAACCTGCAACATCAGAATTGGGCAACTCTTGTCAGTTTGTTCAAAGAACCCTCATGCAAGAATCCATGCCCAATACGTGTCCTGAAGATGCAACATTCTGATCAGTTAAATATTGTCTCTTCAAGCTGCAGAGAGCAATGTCCATCTGAGGATACCTCAATGTGGCAGCTGTCAATCGCTCTCTTCAATGCATCAAGCAATGCTGTTTGAGCAGCTGTTTCTGGACGCTACAAGAGAGTGGGGGAAATGAGACAGTGACTGAAACAGCAGCAGAGCATGTGGCTGAGCAGAAGTAATGGATGTTACCTTACCGTGGTAGAGCATTGAGGGGAAACAGAAGGATATGACCATAGGTTTGTCCTTCAGGTTAAGGTACCTACCCTCAAATCCCTACAGTTGCAGTCATCCATTATCACTTGAAATAAACGCCTGGAATTCCAGGACACCACCCACATGATGGCAGTAATACTGTACAATAAGGTTAACAAAGGTTTTGCCTTTCTTTAATACAGCGATGTCACTCGATCTCCAATTGTCAGACTATAACTGTTATTTTCCATCAACACGCTGCCAATTTCTGGCTGGATCCAAGACTCGCCTAATGGAAAGCAGAGCTGTTCAAACTGGAAAGGTTCCCAGGTTTATTCCCTGGCGCGCGTTGAGTTTGCTGATCTCAGCCAGAGCAGCAAATAGGGGATGGAACAAGTCGCCTTGTTCAGGAGGGGAAAGCCAGTCAGGGTTCCAGCTCCTAATTGGTATCCTCAAAAATTTCGCCCACACAATATGCAGTCAATTCACTTCACAGAATATTCTGTGAAGCGCTTTGAGACATCGCGAAGATGTGAGAAGGCGCTATATCAAGTGCAAAGATTATTTTTATTATTATTGAATGACTCCTCTTTAGAGGTGCACATGTGTGAACAGCAAACAGGGGCAGAATTGGGTTATTACATTTCCACAATCGTCCCTGACAAGGGTCACATGAGAACAAGGACCACTTTGGTAAAGTGCAAGAGACAACTAGCACTGCACCCCATGGAAGGACAAGAGGACTCCAGTGATATCAGTGGAGGGGAGGGGAGGAGAGAACATAGCGGGAGAAATGGTAACTTTGCCCTTTGCGTCACATTTTGTCAAAAACTGCCACGTTGCCTTTTCCTGTCATGTGACTCCGGAGCTACAGCAGACCTGACAGCACACCACAGCCACTGACAAATATAAAAATAACCACAACTTCTATAGACGACAGAAGCTAATAGCCGTCTGCAGCAATCTGCACACACTAACACCATTAGGCGATTCGGATGATTTACCACAAATTATATCCCTTCGATTTAACTCACTCTCTTTTAGCCCAATTCAGGTCAACCTTCAGTCCATGTGCATTTCTGACACATTGCATCTCAGAGTATTGAGCACCAGAAATGTGTTTTTAATGTGGTTTAATTTGCTCAATCTGTTTGTGGGGGTACTGGGTAAACTTGGTTAAATCCCGTGTTAATTCTTGATCTCAGTTCTTTGGAATCCTCAGCCCAATTCTGACTTGCATTATCACAAGATCAGTTTCAAGCTTGGTGTACCCCAACCCTTGTCACTGCACAGAGCCCAGGCAGAGGTGTGTGCCCCCAGCGCAGATCGAACCAAGCTCTTTCAGACTTTTAAACAGTCTGAGTGGACTGGAAACTTACATCTGGAGCACCTGCAAAAGAATTTTAAGTGTTAAGCACATCCACTGGTCCAAAAACTGCCACAAGAGTGTCCGGCTCGCTCCAGTGTTAGTCGGACCATTAATAATTCAAATATAGGGACTGGAACAAATGAGGAAGGAAGAAATTGGAAGAGGGTTCCAACTACAACAACAAATTACATTTGTATAGTGCCTTTCACGTCAGGAGGACAATCAGGGACTGCACCTGAGTTGGTGGTTGGGATCAGGAGGGTTGGAGAGCGAGGAGGATAGGGGTAGGAGGGTGACCGAAGTACGGTCGAAGAGGCGTGTAAAATATAGTATACTGTATACATATGCAATGTGGATGCAACTGCTATTTTGTTGCATAATAATAATAATAATCCTTGTACTTGATATAGCGCTTTTCACATCTTCTAGACGTCTCAAGCACTTCACAGAATATACTGTAAAGTGAATTGACTGCATACTTGTGGGCGAAACGCGGCAGCCAATTGCGCACAGCAGTGTCCCACAAACTGTGATGGATTGAGTGACCAAATTATTATTATTATTTATTTTGGAAGAGATTATTACCCCCGGCAAAGTGATCTGCCAATCGACTAACATTACTATCAGGCGTGTGGAGTAAGGAAAATTGCCCAAGGTATCGTCCTGCCGGGAATTGAACCCAGGTCTCTAGCTTGCAAGGCGAATGCTCTAACCACTGACCTACAGGACTCCACATTTGTATGCTGGGTCCTATATGTTGAAGAAGAATGACTGGTATGGCACTAAGTTACATATACTCCCGTCATCTTTATAGGCAGAAACGAGAAGAAGAGACTCCAGAAGACGTTTTCTATTTTGTCGACATTCAACGGCACAATGCAGAAATAGCTGCTTTTCACTTGGACAGGTATGAAACCATCTTATCTTCTTGGTATCAGTGTATGACTGCACTCAGAATGTTCTAAATATGCAAATATCGCTGGTGAATGCTTCCTGTCTGACTAGTCTGTTGATCATTCAAAGCGATATGTTTTTAAAGTGCCAGACAAACAAGTTCTAACCCACAGAATGAGTGGGAAAGGGGGAAATGGCTCAGATTACCAGTGCCCTTGACAGATAATCACAAGGAACCACTAAGTAGGGTGCTTCAGTGCTTAATATTTGAGCCATCACGTGATTTATTTTTCCATTATTCCTTCTTCCATTATTAATGGAGAAACTAAAACCAGGGGTCACAACCTTAAAATCAGAGGCCAGCCCTTTTGCACTGAGTTGAGGAAGAACTTCTTCACTCAAAGGGTGGTGAATGTTGGAACTTGCTACGCCAACAGGCAGTTGACGCTCAGTACTTGAATATATTCAAGACTGAGATAGATAGATTTCTTATTGCAAAAGGGATTAAGGGATATGGGGATAAGGCAGGGTCAAGTTATTAGCTGGAGTTAGATTAGAAGATCAGCCATGATTGAATGGCGGGGCAGGCTAGAAAGGGCTGAATGGCCTACTCCTGCTCCTACATGTTATGTTATTATACCCAACTTTTTGAAATGATTTCCTTATTCCTTTCCTGAACTCATCACCTTCACTTGCCCTCCTTTAACTGGGGAGGAAGAAGCCTCGAATGACACAGACTCCTGGTATCTGCTAATGGCAGTGCCATTGCTCAATTTGCAGGCAAGACATCATAGCCTGGATCCTGTTAATGCAAAGCGACAAATTCATCAGGAATAAGTAACTGTTTCGGACAGAAATGCCTGCTTGCCAACAAGCTGTCAAAATCTCAGTGTCCAACAGGTCAGTGAAATCGAGTTCAATGCACTTATTGTAATGACGATTCTGGCAGAGTATGTGAGGCATAATTTATTTGGATGAGTTTCTTTCTGAAGGTTGTACTTTTCAAGACCTTTCATAAACATTGTTATTGTACAGACTGCAGACTGCTCACATTCCAGCTAAAGCTCCAACCGCTGCTATTATTAGGAGCACCACTTAAAGCAGCTCAGGCCCCGCAATCATACAAGCTTCCCCACCCTGTAGGATCACACGGTCTTTTAAGTTCAATAAAAATACAAAAAACATTTGGGGGGAGGGTGAGCATTATTTTCCCTCAGTTTATGTTTCATTTCTAGACTCCAGAGGAGTATACAGGAAATAGTAAGCAGTTTGGATCTCTATAAGGTGCGACTTATAAGCATCTTTTAGATGGCGAGTTAGTGCAGAACACTCTTTAAAGAGCACTGGACACAGTGCTTTGTAACTGAGACAAGTGTGCTTGCCTTGAGGCAAGGGTGGGAAAATTCTCTGCCTCTCAAAGATTTAAAGCCCACCGTTGCGAGTTGCTACGTACAGCACTCCAATTAAGAAGTGCTGGATCACATTTACAAGTTAAATGGACGTCCGTCTACTTCAAAGAAAGGTAACCTGTTTCCAATCCAAAATGGTTAGCTGATGATAATAATAATAATAGTAATCCTTGTATTTGATATAGCACCTTATCACATCATTGAGATGTCGCAAAGCAATTCATAGAATATATTGTAAAGTGGAGTGTGGATGAAACACAGCAGCCAATTGCACACAGCAGTGTCCCACAAACAGTCATGGATTGAGTGACCAAATTTTTATTACTATTTATTTTGGAAGAGATTATTATCTCTGGCAAAGCTATCGGCCAATCGACTAATATCTGGGTTCCAACTTCCTGCTAGGTAAACAGAGGTGGGCAGAGCAAGGAAACTTACCTAAGGTTTCACCCCACCCGAGAATCGAACTCGGGTCCTCTTGCTTGCGAGACAAAGGTGCTAACCACTACAGTATGGGACTCCAATACTAGCGATAACACTGCCGTTACACCATTGGAAGCTGGGATCAGATTCATCACACTCCAGAAAAAATGTGACCTTTCTCCACTGATGTTCTTTAACCTCTCAAGTGACGAAGCTCATTGGGCTCATTGAGGAAACCTGGTCAGATACGCTCAGAACATGAGCAACACACAGCTTGTTTGGATATTGTTATCTGATGTGCTCTGACTGCTCGGGACTTTGAGACCTTTGTAAGGCAGGGCAAAGGCAGAAAAAACCTTTGTTCCCACATACACACATACATACTTTGGTCATTGCAACGTATCTTACAGTTAACCTGTACTTTCTGTTAAAGAATTCTCGATTTTCGTCGCGTTCCTCCGGTTGCTGGAAGGAGACTTAATGTAAGCAAAGAAATTCGAGACCTGACAAGGAACGAAGACTTGAAATCCACATTTTTCGTCTCACCAGGTAATAAACAAGCGACATGACATGACTCAATCTAGCTAGTCCGAAACAGGACGTGCTGAATGACTGCACAAGGCATAACTGATAGAATTTTGGAAGGTTTGTTTGATGGGCTCATTGCTAGAAAAGTCTACCTTAGGATTGACCTCACTATAGATATGAAGCTAGGTTCAATCCAACCACCATTAAACAATGCATTTTCCATCAACGATAATAATAGTAATAATTCTTGCAATCGATATAGAGCCTTATCAAGTCTTCGAGCCGTCTCAAAGTACTTCACAGAATAGACGGCAAGTGAATCAGCTGTGTTTTTTTTGTGGGAGAAACCCAGCAGCCAATTGCAATGTCCCCCAAACAGTCATGGATTGAGTGACCAAAAGATACCAAAAGAAGCCAATGAAAAACAGAACAGTGACATTTTTTGGCGGATAAGCTCCAAATGCAGCTTTTTTTCCATTTCTGTTGTGATCAAAGGTCAGCTGTCACATGAGACCTTTACGTTACTATTTTACCTGATGATCTCAGCTTTTCTTTGTACAGATAGATATAATGAGCACATCCTGTTACATTAGTGCGAGTGATGTATCAATAGATTCCTTAGTCCTTGGATTTTTTACCCTCTCTTTGTTTAACATTGAGAATTGAGTGAAATTAATGTAAAAGTTTAGCCTCCATACGCTCTCCCTGGGTGTTCAGAACTACAAGGGATCAGTCTGACAGTGAGAGCCGTCACATAAAAAAGGCAGTCAAGATTTCCAGTTGAAATGGTGAAAGAAGGACTTTTCTTCTAAATAACTCAAGGTTAAGCCACATCACCCAGGGAACAAAATTCAACATATTGGATACTTTTAATAGACAATATAAACCATATTTTGAAACCACAAATCAATACAAAGGAAGAACAAAGTGGATAAGCAGATTGCAAACCACAAAATACTGCAGACGCTGGAATCTGAAACAAAAACAGAGAGAGCTGGGAACATTCAGCAGGTCAGGCAGCATCTATGGAGAAAGGAAAGTGAGTCAATGTTTCGGGTCCATGACCCTTCGTCAGAAGCAGATTGCAAGTTTGTTTGTTCCCTACATTACAGTGTCCTGTCCTATCTCTTAGTACCGAACTTTTATGAAGGAAAACAGGAGTCCGTCTCAACCTTAGGTCTTCAGAAAATATGTTAGGTTTTATTTGATTGTTCTTTTCCATCGGCGGGTAGAATTGTTGAAATATTCAGCCATTGATTTGCAGCAAAAAAAAATTTATTAAATTCCACATCAATAATAATTTCTTACTTTCCCTCCCTAATCAACTTTGTTTCTATAACAACAACTTGCATTTATATAGCGCCCTACTTGCAGGGGAGAGTCCCGGAGCGCTTTGAAATAATTATTTAATAATGATAATAATCCTTGAATTTGGTATAGCGCATTTCATGTTGGAAGGAGATCTCAAGGCATTTCACATGATTTGCTGTGAAGTGCAATGACTGGGTATTTCCAGCACCTTGGGATGTCCTCCTGACGTGAAAGGCACTCTGCAAATGTATTTTGTTGTTATTGTTGTTGCTGTGGGCGAACACGGCAGCCAATTTGCGCACAGCGATGCCCACAAGCAGCCATGGAGTCAGCGACTAATTTTATTTCGGGGATTGTTGGCCAACATTGTTCCAGACAGTAGATCTATCGTGAGCATCCTATTGGCACTTCTTGTGAAGTCTGAAGTGGGATTTGAGGGATAAAGAGGATAAAAACATTAAACGAGAAAAGGACAATCCACCCAGGTCTGTTCATAAACTGTTCCAACCGAATATTGCCTTCCTCCAAAGTTTCTGGAGCAAGCAAAATCTGCAGAATATTCTTTCATCTTTGCTATTCGAACCTGATCTCTTTCTCTTTAGATATTTGCCTGCTCACCTCCCACCAAAACCCTCAGCATAAGCTGTCTCTTCATCTCATACAGCATCTCAGACGTTCTCCTTGAAACCTATTCGCAAAGTAAATGCAACAACAACAACTTGCACTTATATAGCACCCTCCACGCAGGGTAGTGTCTCAGAGCGCTTAAATATCCATTCAGTTGATGGCACGGCAGACTCCTCCAACCAAAGCAGTTTACGAGCTTGCTTTTGTTGGGGATCTGTCCCATGTGAGAGAGAACTTTGACAAAAGAATCATTTATAGAATTTAAAGGCCATTTTTCGAAATGAAAAGAAAATGTTTCAGCGAGGTTAGGAGTACAGTTTCTTTGGTTGTAGTCATGGTAACCTGGCAATATTTGCTGGACTTCAGGCAATGGAAGCCTTACTATCTCAATAGGATTAAGCCTAGATTCACGATCAGCTCCTGCACTGTATTAATGTGGCATCCTTCATTACATTTTGATGTTTTGAATATCTGTTGAACTGTTGTTTGATTTTCTCCCCAATCGGCAAATATGCAACAAATTTCATTAGGTTTCTACCTGCTGACACAAGATAATAATAATAATAATCCTTGCATATGATATAATGCCTTATCTACCTGTTCGCTCTCTCCACCCGGCCCACCCCACTCGTTGAGATGTCTCAAAGCGCTTCACAGAATATAATGCAATGAATAATAAATGAATTGACTGTGTATGCTGTGGGCGAAATGCGACAGTCAATTACGCACAGCAGTGTCCCCCAAAACAGTTGTGGATTGAGTGACCAAATTCTTCTTTTTTTAAAGGGATTATTACCCCCGGAAAGTGATCTGCCAATCGACTAACAACCGGGTTCCTACTTACTGCTAGGTAAACAGAGGAGTGTGGAGTAAGGAAACTTGTCTAAGGTTTCACCCTGCCCTGGAATTGAACCCAGGTCCTCACACTTGCGGTAATATTGATAATCACAGGGAGGATTGCAAAGAGATAGCTGCCCAACCCCTTAACATGTGAATTGAATTGAGCCCACTTTGAGTACCCTGATTTTAGTGGTGGTTATCGGAAGATAAAGTGCAGACCAAGAAATTAGTTTTAAGATTAATAATGTTCCTATCTCCATTCTTTCGCAGCCAATAACGTTTGTTTCTTTGCACGGTGTCCATATATGTGTAAGACGGAGTATGCAGTGTGTGGGAACCCAGACTTGTTGGAAGGGTCGATATCTGCCTTCCTCCCAGATCTCTACCTTGCCCCGCGAGAATTTATTCCACACCCATGGAAAAGATCCTACACTTTTGCTGAGAGAGAAGAGTAAGAGGCCTCATTTGCTGTTACACACCGGTTACACTTAGGCAATTATCTTTCCTTGAAGTCAAATGTGAATTAAATCAAATGGAACTTTACTTGTGCGGGACTTTCAAGAGTTCACAACCTCCCAGAAAGGATTTAGATTGTTGAATATATCAATCTTTTCCATTCTTTTGTTATGTACAATATGTAGAAAAATACAGGACAAGACAATTAAAGTAATTGATCTGTCCTACCGATCAACAATATTAGTCATGTTGATAAGGGGAAGCACAACAGCAACAATATACTCCTACGAAGAGTAACTATATAAGTTATAGTCTCCCGACGTTTATTTTGGGACATTGCCTCAAAACACTTTACAAAGACTTAGCGAAGACAAGTCAGCAATCCGTAAAACTGAAATTTGCAAATACAATTGGACCCCACTCACTGGGAATAGAGTTGAATTGCCACGAAGTGCCATCTATTTGCTGGGAGTCGGCAAACAGTGGTTGATACGCATCATTGACAGATGTGACAAATTCCAGTCTAAACCTTGTTTGTGTTCAGGTTATGACCCGCTGTTTGAAAGTGGTTGAATGTCAAGATGTTTCTACAATTCCTGACTTTGTTGTTTTCATCCAGGTGGGAAACCAACCCAAGATATTGCGAGAAAATTAAACACACACCTCCGTACGACAGAGGCACCAGGTTACTGGATATCATCGATATGGCCATATTTGATTTTTTAACAGGTACATTGTTCCAAAGAAAATATTTTCCCTTGTGCTCTTTCTGTTGGTGTTTGTAAAAAAACTGCATTTGTTGCCTTGGCTTACGTTGGACACTTTGCTGTGTGTAGATTTACTGAAGTGAACCTCCTATCCAAAGCACCTCAGAAATTGAAAGCACAACATTTTCAACAATATAGGGATGATGCATTGAAATCCACCAGAGGGAGCCCACCTTATAAAATCCACGACTGTTGTGTGATACTGCTGTGCCCACAAAATACACAGTCAATTCACTTTACAGTGAAATCCTGTAAAGCTCTTTGAGACATCTCAGCGACGTGATAAGTCGCTATATCAAATGCAAGGATTATTATTTCTTCATTATAAAAGGGACTGCATTCGATTCAGTCACCTTCACCATCTCAATCCATCCTCCAGCTGGAACATGCCAATTGCTAGTAAGAATCAAATTGATGCCTTGATCCAGTTTATTCACCCTCTACTCCCTAAACTGATCTTGACTGTATTGGAATTTGAGATGTGATGACCGTCATATGGTTTCAATTCCAATTCATTTGGATGCTACTGCAGTTTCGGGTACCCAGAAGATCTTCACTTAAAGCTGAGAATCTGCCTTCAACCTATGACTATCAGTCGAAGGCTGAAGAACATTGATCCACAGCGACAATATCACTGAGTTTCTGAACATTTTTTCTTTCCAAGTATGGCTATTTGTTGAATAAAATCAATGCCAGAGACGAGTACAGTAATAAAGGCTGTTTGATTCATAACAATGTCGAGATAAAAAGCACGAGTATAAATTTGTTTTCACTTTACTGTCAATGATGTTGCAGCTTCGAAGTCTTTGGAGAGTTAAACTGTCCCGATTATTTTATAACTTCCTTCTGCCTCGGAAACTGAAGGATTTAAACTAACATGCATCACATAGCCAGGCAAGTCACTCCAAGGGCACTTTCAAGGATATTAATTGCATGTTCAAGGCTTAATGTTTCAAGTGAATTATATCTCTCTTGCAGTATGAATAAAACTGACTCATTCAGAACTATGTCAACTCAGCCACAGCGAAAGTAAACGTGCAAATGGTTTAATTCGTGTCAAACCAGTGATCCCAACCTAGGCTTTTCCTATTCGCTAACCCTGTGCTTTTTTATCAATGTTTTTTCAGGAAATATGGATCGACATCACTACGAGGTCTTTGCAAGATTTGCAAAAGATGGTCACATCATCCACTTTGACAACGCCAGGGGGTAAAAGCTTCCTGTATTTAAAATCCGTAGTGTTATTAATGTCAGCCATAGCACAGCCCAAGCAAACCAACGCAGTCATTTTACTGTAACTTACAACTCCTGAACAGCACAAATTCACACAAGACAGAAGCAGGTTGCGAGAGATTCATATTAGGTCGTCTCTTCTGCAAGTTTGATCCTGTCCTTTGTGTTTAATGAATGAATGATTTGTCCATTGTGGAATACACACTGGCGCTGTTTATAGATTTAAGGAGGAGCAAATAATTCTCATATCATGGGATTAGCCACACGACTGACTGTTGCTGTTGCTTCGGGCTAGGTCATTGACTATGTCCTCTGAGGACCAGCTGAAATGCATGTCTATCATGAGGAATATGAATGAACACTGTGGAAAGAGCATATGGAATCATTGATCTAAAATACAAAAGTTCAAAAATACAACAGACAAACTCATTCAGCTCTCTCTCTCTCTCACACCTACACAAACCCCCACACACACACAACAGTTACATATCTTCCAGTTACATATCCACACACGCTCTTACTTTTTTTTAGGTCAGCCAGGTACCTCACACGCAAGTCTCCAAATCAAACTAACAATAATTCTACAGATGTATAGTTTCCTATACATTTTTACTGGTGAACAGTTGAGTGCTTCAAAATGCCCCACTTCAAGGGCAAACAATGCTGAGCAAACATTTAACTGATGGTCTATCCACTGAGGATACTCAATCAGTTGTCTAAATTACTATACTTCATTGGCTAGCCCTGTCTGAAGGCTACTTTCCTTTAATTCTTCTCCTCCTCTCACAGTTGTTTTAAAGAAGAAAATGTTAAACAGATGTCAGTCAACGGAGACAGCCCCTGGCTCCTGATTAATGCAAAATGCCAATTTATTGATGGCTGAGATTGTAAATAGCAAGCAGAAAAGGATTGTATTGACGTGTTTCAGAATCTGAGACCAGGCAATTGCAGTGAGATGTGCACTGAAGACTCACAGGGGCTCAATGTTAGTGGGGGGGAGGGGAACAAGTCACCAGGCAAGTTAGGCGCATGGAAAATCACCAGTAAATGGTCACTATTTGTGTGCCAACAAATGTGAAGGCAGCCAATCAGTATTTATTACAACTAGCCCGGGCTAGCTGTGCAATTAGCCAAACCCTTAAACAAGCAACACTGCGTGGAGTGGGTTTTGTGGGTGAAATTCCATTACACTTGAGCAACACTGCTTGCAAGTACAAGCATCCAGATGAAAGGCATTTGAAGCTCTCCTGTGATTAAACATGCTGCTGAAAGGAGCAATAGCCTCCTGGGTTCGCTGAATGTTATTTTACAGCGCGGCGTTATGAGCAGATGACTCGTGTGCCTTCCCCCCATTATGCCGAGTGGTTGATTTAACAATTGTATTAGTTTTCCACGCGTCTTACCAAAATCCAACAGCAGAAAGTGTCAGAACATATTTGAGATTATTGATAATAATAATAATAATCCTTGCATTTGACATAGCGCCCTATCATGTTGTTGAGGCATCTCAAAGCGCTTCACAGAACATATTGTAAAGTGGATTGACTGTACTTTGCGGGCGATACACAGCAACCAAAAATAAAGCAATGGGGTGCAATTTGTCTGCTCCCATGTTACTGATAAGATGCAGGGTTCATGGTGCACAGGCAGCAGAACACGAGTTGCATTGTTCTAACTTGCTGGTTTGTGTTGTAGATACCCAACACACTGCACAGCTTCCTGCGTCAAACTCCCTATGACGCCACTAAAATCTGCCTTTGTTTTATCAGCCAGCTCATTAATTGGTTGTGGAAAGAAAATGTGCTCTTTGAACCTCTGATAAGTAATTTGAAACCCCCCTGGCAACTCAGCACTTTAAGTTAATTGATCCACAAACTTATAAAACCCAAGCAAACCAGTACTTGCTTATGTTCGTAAGTATTGCTCTGTTGTGCCGCGTACATACTATGACAGTAATAATCCTTACATTTGATATAGCGCCTTATCACATCGTTGAGACGTCTCAAAGTGCTTCACAGGATCTATGGTAAAGTGGATTGACTGTATATTTTTGTGTCACAAACCTACATGTTTCATTAGCTTAGTTATGTAACTGTGACATGATCCCACTATTTGTGGCAGCAACAAAAAGATTCAACAGTACTTTATGTATGTATTTTATATAGTCGGTAAGGGATGTATTGCAACAATTTGTCTAAGTCATGAATTGGCACCAAATCCACTTGTTTGTTAGATCATCCTGACCAATCTAATTGAGATCAATCTCAAGACCTACCTTTTTGACTGCACATTAGGTCATCTTTCCCCTCCCCAATCCCCGAAAACCCTCACTGTCAGCTCCGGGTGCCAAGCAAGAATTGTCAAGCTCCCTTGGGATGTCCTCCGAATGTGAAAGGTCCTATATAAATGTAAATTTGCATTGTATTGTAGTTGAGCGCTAAAGTGTTTTTAACTCTGATGAACTAAGTTATAATTCCATCTTTTCTAGGTTTGGGAAACATTCACACGATGAACTCTCCATCCTGGCTCCCCTGGCTCAATGCTGCAGGTAAACAGCACACTGTTACAGGAGCGGAGATGTGCGATTTTGTTCTTGACTGAGCCTGAGGCTTCTCTGTTAAAAAATAATCTGCAGCAAAGGAAATCACTCAACGTTGCTCTTTCTGCAGCCCCTCAACAACAATAACAGTTTCCATTTCTATAGCGTCCGTCACATGGAGTGGTGTCTCGGAGCACGCCACTTATAATAATGATAATCCTTGCACTTGAACTAGCGCCTTATCAAGTTTTCGAGACGTCTCAAAGTGCTTTATAGAATTCACACTGTAAAGTGAATCAATTATATCCCATGGGCGAAACGCGGTAGCCAATTGCACACAGTAGTGCCCCACAAGCAGTCGTGGATTAAGTGACCAAATTATTATTCTTTTTTTAAGGGATATTACCCTCAGAAAAGTGATCCGCCAGTTGACCAACCACACCGCCAGTTGACCAACTCACCGCTAGGTTGTAGGCTCAGGGCAATATTGTGGTACAAACGCTCTCTCATTGCTGTGTTGTCCATTTTGCAGGGTAAAGAAGTCAACACTGTTTCGCTTGCAGCTCTTGACACAAGAAGAATACAGACTGAGCGACATGATGCGGGAGTCCCTCCTTGGTGACCGTCTGGCTCCCGTGGTGACGGAGCCTCATCTGCTTGCCCTCGACAGGCGTCTGCGTGTGATATTGGACACAGTCCAGAAGTGCGTGCGCAAGCACGGGCAGGAGGACGTAATCGAGAACGACATGGGACATGTGTTTGACGGCGTGAACTTGAACAGCACATCGACGTCTAGGTAGCTGATGGACACCTTCCCTGCCATCGTCGTAAGCAGCGTGGATCATAAACCAAGCCTTGAGGAGAAGAGCTGAATCCTCCATATTTAAAAGGAAACCTCGGTTCAAGCAGCTTTGTGCCAGTACCATTTTTTTCTGATGACACGGTTAACCTCCAGAAATAAATGCAGTTATCCCGCCTCGAGAGGCCACTTTCACCAGGTTTATACCTGCCCCCACATCACAAAACGTTCAGTCGCACGACTTCCAAAATGTTTCATCGTTTCTGAATCAGATTCTGCTATGTTACATGCCTGCACTGGCCTCCCTGGTCTGTAGCGTGGTATTGGCCTGAGTCTACAAGGGGAGCAGCTCCTGTTTGGCAGTGCATTCGAGAAAGATGGGAGATGATTAGGGAGAACTGATTTTGTCCATCTCCCGCTCTCCTACAGATGGTCACTTCACTGGTCACTCTAACCATCTCTCATCTAGCTTGTTCTTCTTGCCCACATAATGTTAAAGAAAAACTTGCATTTTGGCATGGAACACTTTATATCGGGGTGGTTGGCGCAACGTCTCAAAGCACTTCACAGAGTTTACTGTTAGGAGTAGTGACTGTTCATTTAGTAGGCAAATACAGTAACCAGTTTGGACACTGCAGCATCCCACAAGCAGCTGCGAATTGAAGAGGGTGATGTTTTGATTGAAGATTTTTATTTTTAAAGCTAACTAAATAAGTGATTTTATTTCTCATCCTCTCTGTGAGAAGAACTTTCTTTCTTTATTTAAAAATATGCATTGTTAATATATTTATCAGTGTCATTTTGCTGATCCTGGCTGACCTTTCACATATGATCAGAAATTCACTATATTCCCTAGGAAATCGAGATCACAGTTGTCTTATCCTGCTTGAAACTGAAGACAACGTCCCGTGTTGTATACATAAAAAACTGTCAACACTCGAATGGTATGAGGCATGAAGGCACTTTGTTTCCTTTCCCTGTAGGCAAGTCAGGCCACAGTAAGTGACTGGAAATCAGGTTCACAGTCACACCAACCATGAGCTCAAAAGAAGGGAATATTTGCTACAAACTACAATCAGACCAGTTAAATATAGCACTTATTTACACACTGCAAATTTTAATCAATACACATTATGAAAAAAAGCTTCAAACCCTTGGATGGAGATTGACAGTTGCAGTCTGGTACAGATGTTCAGTACTATGTATTATACAGCAGTTGGATGACGGTTACTCAGACGTCTGATCTCTGATTCAGTTTGAATTTTCTGATGCCTGCTTCCCGTTCAAGGGCAGGCAGGTGATGGGTGCACATTTGGTGAACGCATCAAGCAGTTGTCACTGAGACATGTACAACAATAACAATAATAATAATAATCCTTATAATCCTTGCATTTGATATAGCACCTTTTCACGTCTTCCAGACATCTCAAAGTGCTTCAAAGAATATACTGTAAAGTGAATTGACTGTATGTATTGTGGGCAAACCATAAAGCAGCAGATACAAATGAGGTGTCAGCTTTTATCTGGGTTGGTGCCTGTAAAGTATTCTTAATACAGCCCAGGATTATTAATACAGTTCAGTATCGTTAGTGCAGTACAGTATTAGTGCAGCGCAGTATTATTAATGCTCTATAGTATCATTATGGCAATACAGTATTAATGGTAGAGTATTAATAGTGCAGTACAGTATTGATGCAAATTCTGGCCCAACCTCTACTCTTCCAGTCTTAGAGTGTTGCTTTTTATTCATGTTGAACACATTTTAACTTGTCCAACAAGAATAAAAAACAATGCTCCAAGATTGCATTACGGAATTTTTCAGTATCAAATGCAAAAATTATTATTATCATTGTCAGTGATTAAAACATTTTAAAAAAAGTTAACTTTTGAAGACTGAAAATGATCAAGAGTCAATGATCAAATGAACTATTTGGGAGAATACTTCAAAATTTAGAACTCATCTCTACCAAAACTTATCTAATATTAAACTAAGGTTAATAATAATAGTTCAGTGATGAAAACAACCGGTAATAGCTTTCACATTTCATCAGAGAAATAGGAAATCGGAGTCAGAAATTTTAAAAATTGTTCTACTAAATGTAATTCAGTATTCCTTGTTATTCAGTAATGACTGCAGCGAAAGGACTGGCACAGTGACAGTGTGTTGAAATTTTACTCTGGTATGCTGCATGTCTGTGCCAGCTCTCCTTATTTGTGCCGTGATTTTGGCTGAGACCTAATCTGGTGGATCATGGGAGAAGCAAACATCATCTGAACATCAGACTCCTCTTACAGGGCTAGTCTGTCTCCAGCAGTGGGCAGTGTACCTCCTAGCATCATGCTAACTTCATAGGACATTTGTTACCAAATCAAACAATTAATGCTGCTCAACGTTTTGACAAGAATTCCTTATACGTTACGAGTTCTTTCGGAATCTTTGCAATAGCCTTGTTCTTCTTACCGTACAGGCAGTGCAACCTTCAATGCGTAAGCAAACAGAAGGTTTATTGGTGAAGGGAATTAATAATGATCACAAGATGGCAAGATTGCTCTGGATGGAGAATGCCCATCACCATTTGATCTCATCCCTTAAGAACACCCACCCTACCGTCCCCCCAGCCCCCATCACTGCATCAAGCTGCTTTTAAATGAATCTCGAGTCCAGGCTTGTACCACCTTTCCTGGGAACCTGTTCCAGTCAGATTACTCTCTGCCTCAAAACTTCCTGGTGTCTGTTCTGAAATTGCCCTTTACGACTCTAAACCTATGTGCTTGATACATCCCAAAGTATTGATCTGGGTTTACTTTTTCAATCCCATTTAAAAATTTGTACACCTCTATGAGGTCCTGTGTCATCTTCTCTCATGGCTAAGAGCCCAAGCTTGTCTAATCGTTGCTCATAATGCTTCCATTTGATACAGAGCTTATAATGTGGCATCATCTTAAGATCTAAAGATGAAGCACAAAAATGCCTTTTCTTTTTAAAAAAAACCAAACATTATCCAAAAAGATCATAATTATAAACATCTGGTGCTAACTCTGAGAGTTATTAGCTGCAAAGAAATTCCAGAAATGAAGAAAATCACCTTTGTCGTTGGAGCAATATCCGTTTCTTGCCTGTGCAATATTTTTCCAAAGAGTTCTAATTTATGTGGTATTGCTTCAGCTTGGTTTAAAGTAGTTGGGTAGGGAAAAAGAGGGCTTAATTTAATTATAAGTGCGGTCACAAAGCAGTCATTTCACTCACGCTGTCACCAATCATCAGCCAGGGCTGGAAAGGGTTGTGAAATGTACGCGTAGTAACATTCCAGAAGTTCTCAGTGAAAATAAATGAGTTGGCTGAAAGCAGGAATTGTGTTGTTCTTCCTTCTCGATGCATGGTAAAAAGTGCTGTAAAAGTGATCTATTGAGGCCTCCCATACACACTACATACATACACACACACACACACACACACACACATACATACATACAGACATAAAAGGGCAGCATATATTATTACTCCAATTTCTCCATTCATAAGATTCATATCAGCTATGAAGTCTAGGTGCAGGATATTGGAATCCATTGCTTAACAGTTAGTTGACACCAGACGTTGTCCACTTGTTCTGGATCTACTGCCTGGAGGGATCTTTCAACATTTCAGGAAGGTAAGTGGGCTCTTCCTTCAGGCTTAACTAGTACCAAGGACAAACACCTTGAAGAATAAGGACATTTTAGTGAATTTTAGATTATCACAAAGTAACCCCATTCTATAACATCCAGGGAATTGTTCTAAGGCTCCGCAGGTTCACTGACACTTATGTTAGTTCAATCCTAATATTGTACTGTAAGCTTTCTTTTCCAAATGACTTAATATACCAGTGTGGCCAAATATCTACTGCAGTGACATTCCTTAGCAGACTCTGGACTTATCAAAAAAAAATCTTGATGTCCTGATGGGAAGAAAGTAGAGTAGGGTGGGTATACTGGAAGAATAAGATCAAATGAGTGTAAGGGCTTTCTTCATCCAAACCGCTTAAGATTTATTTGACTGCAAACAGATCCAATTCGCAGAAATAAAGATACCACAAAAAAGCCTTTTCCTGTTTTATTAGATTGTCGTAGAAAACTTGCCATAAATCTTCAATGTGCAGCATAAGCCCTTTAAACAGCACAAAAGACAGTTTAGAAAATAAAACGTCTCATTGATCCAAAAGGCCCAGATTGAGCTTTGATAACCTTTACACGATGGAGCTAATATAAATTTTCACTAGCAATGCACTGTAGCTATAGAATTGTGTAAATAGGGAGCAAGTACACATTTCTTGCACATCACAAGTGTTGGTAAACCAGGCCTTTTCCCCCATTGCATCCACAGTACAAAGTACTACAAAGTAGTAGTACACAGTACCAAATCTGGTGTTTCCAAGTCCCAGTTTTGAGAAGTCTTTATATGAGCCACTTGATGACTGTGCAGTCCAAAAAAGAGGAAGAAAAAGCTTCTCATGCATGCAATATATCATGTATAATCTCCTTGCTGTTATTGCTGACGGTGAGATTTTTTTTCAGTTGTTAGTTGATTGCCTGTAGTATCTTATGTTGTACCTGGAAAAATACGAGAACATCAATTACACAGAGCCAACAGTTTGAATATTCATGGTTTCACAGTTTGATTTGTGGGACTGAGTGACACAGGGGCTGTCATCAGTATCCTTACACTTTCTCTCGGTGGAATCCATCCCAGACTGGCAGTTGTTATGTTAGCAACACAACCTGCTTATTAATTTGACCAAAACAATTGGCGATGTAATAACACTCAGCGGCTAAGGGATGATCGGTGTGAGAAATGGTGCTCTGGCCAGCAACAAAAGTATGGAGTTAACCCTTAGAGTGCTATGGATTGCTTTCCAGGTAATAATCCCTCCGCGACTGTTTGTGGGAACTGCTGGGCGCAATTGGCTGCCGCGTTTCACCCACAATCAATGCACTTTACAGTATATTCTGTGAAGTGCTTTGAGACATCTCAATGATGTCTATATTAAAGCTTTATTTATTATTATTATTATGGATGAATCCGTGGGCTGCCCAGGTTAATCTTCATATTCCAGACTTTACACTGCCTGAAAAAATAGCCTTTAAAGCTGCATTTGAGTTCAGTAGCTCAGTGGTTAGAGCACTCGTCTTGCAAGCGAGACACCTGGGTTCAATTCCAGGCAGGAATGGGACACTGCTGCGTGCAATTGGCTGCCACGTTTCGCCCACAAATATACAGTCAATTCACTTTACAGCATATTCTGTGAAGCGCTTTGAGACGTCTAGAAGGTGTGAAAAGCGCTATATCAAATGCAAGGATTATTACTATTATTATTATTCTATGGCAATCAGGAGGAACACAAAAACTGGAGTGTAAAATGTTTTAAACTTGGTTTTTTTTAAAAAGAAAAATATTTTGAAAACAAGGCAGAAAAAAAGGGCTTTTTGAAAAAAATTCTGTATCACAAAGATTTCCATTTATTTTCTTAGTCATAGGTTAATGTTACAATAATAAAGCTATTCACGACATTTGAGAGGTTTTATTGCCGCAGTATTGGTATTTCAGCATCAGTGTCTGGGAGCTCACAGACAGGAAGTTCCCTGGCAGCAACGTAAGCGTTAAAACATTCTTAAAATTTGGAACAAAGCGAAGACAGAAACATTGAAATAAATCAGAGATCTTAACTTTAGTGTCACGCTTCAAAGGCTATGTTTCTGGTCAGAGGTCCAAAGTAGGGGGTTGATTAGGAAATAATGAAAATCAAACACAGAAGCAAGTTGCATTCTTTCAAAATGGTATATTGGAATTTTAATAGGATTTCAAAACAACAATTACGCAATGGTACTTCTTCCTTGTGCCACAAGTCTAGGCAGTGAAATAAATGAACATACATCCCAATCTAGAGACGACATTGAGCACAATAATTATTTCAACCAGAGCTACTTTTTCAGGGTGCTTCACATCAGGAGATCATTTTCCTGCCTTGGGAAACTTTCACCTGTGTCTCTCGGTGATTATTTCATAAGACCTTAGAGCGTTTTTATGGCACGGAAGGAGATTGTTCAGCTCGTGTCTGTATCAGTGCTCCATTCCTACAACAATTTATCCCCTGCTCCTTCCCCTTGAATATTACCAGTTCATTTTTCAATGCTATTCAGACCTCAGCGTCAACAACCATTTGTGGTGAGGGAATCCACATTTACCTGCCTTGCTTGGGTTTCTGCTTCCTTCAGTGCCTCGGCACATATCTACACCAGAAACCCTATTGTATGTGCTTTGCTCAGTGACTCTATTACATTTCTCTGCTTTCCTCAATGACTACATCAACAGCCCTCACCCCCTCGCTGCCCCACCCCCACACTTAACCTCTATTAACTTTCAAGCTATTATTTCCTCTGTAAGACCTACAGATATGTTCCTCAGCCGTACTTATTAAATCATATGTTTGAAATAGTAATCAAGGCTAAAATACTTCATACTCAGAAGTCTATTCATTGAAAGGCACTTTGTTGTTGCAGTCATTATTCCCAGTAGGTAGAGCAAATCTTCTCTCTTGGTTCCAGTACATAAAAGTTCTGAGATCCGCATTTTTTCATGCAGTGCATACAGCTTTACTGATAACCTAACTAACTAAACAGCCTGGCTCCGCACAATTAGGTGATATACAATGAATAGTACAAGATTGTCAACATATTTGCACAGCAACCTGTAAATAGCATCATCATTACCAGCGATCAAACATCCATTTTCACTGGGGATAAGCTACCACAGACCTTGGAACCAAAACTCTGTAATGGGTGGCCTCCTTCAGAAGAGGAGAAGACTGAGGGAAAGAAAGAAATGTTTTGAAAGAGAAGTGAAGCTTAGCTGGAAGCTCCCTCCTGTGGAAAATACCCTGACAACTCAACAACTTCTGTGTCCATCACTGTACTAAATGATTCTGAATGTTTGGTTTAATTGATTCAGGATTTTAGACAGAGAGATGTTGTTTATAATCAAGACATTAAACTCTCATTGACTCTTAGGAATGGAAAGAGGCCATTCAATCCATCGAGTCCATTGGCCCAGTGCAACAAACCATCTTTACAAAGACAGTGCCAGTCTAGTACTATCTCTGTAAAACTCTGAAACAGTCCTCTGTGTGAACATAAATGCAATTTGCTATTGTTTATTACATCATGGCAGATCGTTCAAAACTATTTCCCTGTCTTTACTCCGAGCCCTTTAATATTATTCCTTCCCAAGAATCTCTTTATTTCCCTTTTAAACATCCCAATAGATTCTATCTGTGTGCCCTTCTGTGTATTCCACATTTTCACAACCCTCTGTGTGAAGTACAGTTGTAAGCAACAGTGGGCCTAAGAGAAGTTCTAACTAAGGGAACTCACTATGGTTTTAATAGAGTTTGCTCTTTTTGCTGAAGGCAGATAAATCTCATCTGGAGTTGGTTTACAGTTTTACAAGGCTGATCCTTGCTCACTCACTGAATCGCAAAGCCATGGAAAGGAAGGCTGCCAAAAACAACAACAGTGTTTTTGTAAACAAGGCCGAATTGTCTATCTCTGCCAGAAATGATCTGAAAAGCTGTGGTGGGGGGAGGGGGGGTGGTCAACCTACATTTTGTGCCAGTGATTTGAGTGGACCTGTTTCTGATCTCTGCTGGGAGTAACGTGCAGGCCTGAGACAATGCAATAACAATTTGCTGCATCTAATTACGTGTTCACTGTGTTAATTAATACAAGGAACGAGTTATGAAACATCTCAGACCTTTCGTGAGGCTTTTCAGCACAACTGAGTCGGGAAGACAGTGGTATTAAACTTTTGTTCCCCTTACTCTGGTGTTATCTTGGTTCACCAATCCATTTGGGTCACCTAAATATTGGTCAGCTCAAAGGGTAGGTTGTTATTGGTGTATTAGTGGGAGCATCCAAAGGGTCAGCTGATTGAACTAAATGCGCCCAATGTCCAGCTACAGAGCAGTATTGGCCCTAGCAGTAGAGGGCTGTGAACAACTCACCAAGGGTATTTCAGTCAAGGTGACATGGGGAGGAGGAAAACTATCTGATCTGAGATGCCACATTTCCAAGTTCTTTTTTACCTAATATTTTCGACTGATTTTTCAAATGGTTTCGAAGCACAATTTCGGTTGAAATACTTTATCTCACGCGATAAAATAATGTACATTCAAAAAATCCTTGATGTTGGTACAAAACCCTACGAAGCTGATCATTTATCCATAAAACTTTAAACTAAATAACACTATCCTTACTCATTATTACTATAACTAAGATTACCTATTGAGGAGTTGGGGGTCTATTGTAGCGAGCATGACTAGTTTTCTTTTGAGTTGCAACAGTGGACACCCACAATCATTGCATTCCTAGCTCGGTCAAATTACTTGCAACCTTTAATACAATACAGTAAGATCTAAGTATAGCAATCTCAAAAGAGTCTTGTTAAATATGTAAATCTGATGGTATGATGGATATCCTCAGGTGAAGTTGACTAATTTGTTCACAATTTGCTCACACAGCAGTTCGCACAAAAAACTACTCAATACCTTTGGGAAAAAATCTCTCCGTCTCTCTATGAGAGGACAGGACAGAGGTGGAGGAGTGATAACACAACATTTAAAATTTCCTTTAGTAAAACTGAAACAAACTGCATGCATGGGATTTATTTAAGCACAAATCTGTACATGGACACAGGCTGTCATCTTGGAGGCAGTAAGCTTCAATGTACTGCAAGGCAAGGCAAATTCCAACAAAGCTTGCACTAAAAGGAAATCACCAAATATATATTTTCAAAGCAATAACGTCAAGAAAAATCAATACATTGCCCTAACACATTGCACTCGATTGCAACTGCATATCCAGACTGAAAACCAATAACAGACCTTGTACACTTTAATACTTTACTCCAACCTCTCTTTCATATAATTTCACGGGTGTGTTCTGTACTTTGATTTTTCTTTATAATGGGGCACATCACAATGTGCATGTGCGATGAAATACATGTGCAATGAAAAAATAAGTCACTCCTGGGATCCAGAAGGGCAAAAATATAGGGAGAATAAAATGTGTATTGTAACGTCTCTCAACTGACTTCTTACCTCATTATGTGTCTTCTTGGGAGCTCTGTGCAGTTGCAGCTTATATGTTCTTGGACGGTGACTGTGTGAACACTGAGTTCTTTCCTGCCATATCGGTAGGTCAGCTTTGCTATCTGCGCAGGACAAAACATGGAACAAGAACTATTCATTGATCCCAAGAGGTCTATTTCAACACTCTAAGGAAGCATTTCAAGGTAAGAAACAAAAGATATTCCACCATTGAAGAAAAGATATATCAATGCCGCAACAGGCAGTGGATAATTTATGAGTTTTTATGATGGCTTATCTGTCAATTAGCTTTTCTTGGACCCCAATTTTATTATGATTCAGCATATTCCTTTCTACAATCTGTGTTGGACACATCCATTCACTGGCTTTAGGATAGTTCATATTGTGGTATCATGGAAGCAGCTTGGATGTGCAGATATAGAGATGGAGTGAGCAAGCAGCACATGACTGAGGAAGACTTGCGATAAAAAAGAACATGCACAATATAGGGGATTGAAACAACAAAGGAAAACAATCTGGCTAATGAAAAAAGGAAAGAAATGCTGAATTGAAGAAAAATGCTCTGAAACACAGCACAAAACACAGAGATGAAAAAACAATGAGAAAGTGCAGCTGACACCAAGACAGAACGTAAAGAAAATGTTTGTATTTCCCAAAGAACGAAAGAAACATTGATAAACACTTCAGATTCTATGTTTATTTCAATGAGGGTAGCTTTCATGAGAAACATAAATATCTTACCGGCATCTTATTCTTTCAATAACACTGATATTTGTTTTGTTTCTATTTTCTGAGCCACAGTCATGAAGTTATGCAATTTTAACATTTATAACAAAATCAGATTCACGCCTATTTATAATCCAACACAAACAAATTGCCTCTATAAGGAAGTTTTCAGCAAGTGCCAGATGACTGGGCCTTAGTCAATAGTGGAGCTTAGTCAGTATTGGGGTGGTGGTTATGTACAAGACTGGTCTATGGGCAACATTTATTGTTTTCTTTTCCATACCCTGTGTAGCTACCCAACCCATGAAATAGCGAGTGAAAACAAGAGTGAAAACAACATCTTGCATTCTGGTAGAGAACAAAACAAGGTCGGCCATTCACTGTTACGAAGTTGGCTTCTTTAGCCTGCAACATTTCTAGTTGTGGTGTAAATATCCAGCGCTATTCTCCCACTATCTTCATCGCTTCCCCTTCCACTGACAGATTGAAACAGTCCGGTCTACTAGCAACCTCGGAAGATCTCCCCCTGCAGCACCATTGCAAAATTTCAGATTTTGACATGAGCGATCACCTTGGTCTTTGAGTGAATTTGCCAATCCCAATGCCAATTGGCGCTGAATTCGTCCCAACCACTAAGGCCCAGTTAAGGCTAACCTCACTTCACGTAGAACGTGGACGAACCATTGGAGGGAAAATAAATGCAACCAACTGGCCAACCATTCAGAACCAGGGCCCAAAACGACAATGAGCACTCTAACCCATCTTGTCACTGGTCATTGCCAGGAACAATTCATTCATCCAGGTTCAAGCAACTAAAAATGAAAGCGTGACTGTGAGGGAAGAAAGTGAACACAAACTTATATCTAAAAGTCACTTATACTTAATAAGTGAGGATTTCTTAAAGCAAAAATGTTTTACCTTCCTCGGATAATGAAAACCTTAAACTGTGGTCAAACAATGCATTAGTGTGGTTCAACTACAATATTATTTGATCATACTTCCAGATCAGTAACTCCTATTGCTGGTAAGTGTGTGTATGTCTCTCTCTCTCTCTCTCTCTCTCTCTCTCAATGTCAGATAACCAATATTACACCCAGTGTAGCAATGAAGCTCCCATTCGCCCCAAATCCAAGATCCAGGACATGCAAAGTTGCCCTGTGTCCCAGTCACCCACAGATTATGTGCAGCCACATACCTGAAAGGACTTGAATTGGGTAAGGGATGGAATGCACTTATAGGTCTTGGTGTTACAACACCCAGAGCAACGATCCACTTCAACACACGATGGCCACAGGAAGAAGCCTGCTGAGCTGGGATCCACCTTGTAACGTGGAATCTCTACGGAAATCGGTCTTGGTTTGCAGCTGGCTGGCTTTGTGCTCGAATATCCTTGGATAACATTGAAAGAAAACGAAAGTTATTTTCGTGCTTTAGATCGTGATTTTTTTTCTCAATTTATACATTTATTATTTAAAATAATCGCACATTTGGGAGGGTTTTTTTTCGGCGGGGGGAATAAATTAAGTTTGCCTGGGGTTGATGTTTGTGCCATCTGTGCATTTATATGTTCAGTTTATAGACAGGATACACAGCGGGTAGCACTGGTACAAAAGGTTCAAAACCTTGTGATGTATTATTCTCATCCATCCAAGGAATTGCCCTTGGATGGATGTGTTCGGATACAAATGTTTTTAATGCACTGATGCATCTCTGGAGTATGTTAAATCTCATGCCCTGCACACAACAAGTTTAGAAGGAAAGAGATTTAATTATAAAATTTGACAGAGCTCAGTTTGTGAGAAAAGGTTCCTTACGTCAAACCGTAGAACTAAGTGCTTGCTTCACTTCATGTGAGGTAATCATTCAACCAGAACTACTGTACAATCCTGTCAGCTACAACAGCTTGAGTTCACCGGCTATTACCATGACTCTCTCTCAGTGGGATGTCCCTTCAGTATTCTGGAGCACTCACGCTGCAATGGCTATCACACTGCAGCTATAAAATTAGTCCACAGTCACAAGCCTAGATATCACATTGATATCAAATTCACACTGAAGACACCGCTGTGCGCAATTGGCTGCCACATTTTGCCCCCCAAAATATACGGTAAATTCACTTTACAGTATATTTTGTGAACCACTTTGAGACGCCTCAACGATGTGATAAGGCGTCACGTCAAATGCAAGGATTAGTATTTGGATTATTATTCACTCTGCCACCAGGCACCAAATCCATACAAGATTCAGCGTACAAAAGCCTTTTCTCTTCACTAGCTGTAAGGATCGCAAATCCTCAAAACACACTTTCCCCATATATCGGTCACAATTCGGCATAAGTTAGCAATTTAGCAATATCATAGCTTTGCATTCTCTCAGGACAGAGTCAACTGAAATTTCTATCTGCGATACACCAGACCTAGGAGTACTTGATAGTGATAGTGGAAAATTATTCTGTACCCAACACTGCTGTCACTCATCCCCCAACGATCATTAAAGCCAGGGTCGAGACTTAAAACTGTTCCTCTCACACATTGACCTCACGCATTGCAAGTTATCAGCGCAACGATAACTACTTCTGAGCATTCTGGGTTGTTACATGCATTTCCGCATCACCCAATAAAAGGCTAAGCATAACACAGTCTCACAATTCAATTCTGTAGGAAACTGTGTTTAATTAATTTCCTCTAAATTTTGACAACGGATGCGAGAAAGAGAAAAACACAGTACCTGCAACGTATCTATTTTGTATCTACGTACCACCCAGTTCCTCTGCTTTGTGGATGTGGCAATCAGATAGAGTCAGAGAGATTAACAGAAGCCATTTTTTTCCCTTTAAGTTCTCCTCCTCTGCCCTCCAATCCCTGCATCTTTTCAGTAAATGTATTCAACGTTCTAGGGATATTGGCAATCCATTTTGGATGTCTTTTTGGATTTATTTGGGGATATTTGCTTGTCCCAGCTGTTAACAATACTGAAGAAACACTGCTTTTAGAGATTGTTAAGTTTTGCGAAGCATTTGATCTCGCACACCAGTATTGGTGCATGTTACTAATTAAGTTTTTTGCTTCTAAAAATGCAACTCGCACCATCTGAGTTGTAGGTTAAGAAAAGAGTTAAAAGTTGTAATTCAATCGCAAGATTCTGCTAACGTTTATAAACCATTTGAGCCGTGTCCTTTTGCGGGCAGCACAGCCCCTCAACTGAATTACAGTCTTGTTAAGTGCCTCTGTACTATTCATTATTGTACATATAATTAATACACTGTGTTTAACTCAGGCTTTGCTCAGTCTGTCCTCTTGATCGTCCTACATATTCAGCATGTATAATATTGCAACATCTTATTTGCAAGCATGAGATCAGTTTATTTTTCGGTGTAATCACATTTTCCTCTTGTTCGTTAATCTGCTGTCACATGTTAGCTGCAACCGCATTTGCCCATAATTCGAATCAATGTGGTTTGCAAGAAAGATCAGGCAGTTTCAGAATGGGCACACTAAGTTTGTGATTCATTGCTACGGTCACCCAAGGGGTCGTCGCCATTTTTTTTCATACCAGAGTCGGTGAAACGCATTTATTAATATCTCTTTCAGTTATGCAATATGAAATTGATCATTCACTTCATGGCTGTTTGTCGGACAACTTTTCAGACATCCTCCCAAAGTAAAAGGTGCTAGATCAAATACAAATGTTATTATTATCCCTCCCTCCTCTCATTCAGGTCACAACTGATGACCTTCCTCTTCGACCGTGCTTAGGGTCACCTCCAACTGCCCCCCGCCACTGTTAAGTGCTCTAAGACACTACCCTGCATGAAGGGCGCTATATAAATGCAAGTTGCTGTTATTATTGTCTTATGCCTATACGTTATAAAAATTAGTCATAACCTCCCGAGTGCAATATCACCAGCTTCCATAGAATAACAGAACATTACAGTAAGGAAGCAGATCCATTCGGCCCAACAAGTTTCTGCCTCTGTCCCCAGTGAAGCTATAATGTGAGGGGGGGCTTTACTGAACATTAATACAGAACCGAAAATCCCTTCTGCTCAACATCTCAAATCAGGTAGCATGTATTTTACTCCTCGGTGGATCACTGATGTATGCACAGGACTTAATCCTAATTGGCAAGGGCTCGTTGTTAAAATTAGTTGTAAGATTTTCAACCGAACTTCGGAAGCAAGTTGGGAAATGATACTCTTGGTTTAACAAATTTAACTCAATATTATATTAACACACATACCAACGTTATTCATACTAAAGTGGCATCAGTTTCTATCGGGTTGTAAAAAAATATCTGTCAAGGGAAACCACTTCCAATTGCCTGTAGGAGCAAGTTTTTCAAAGTGTTAAAACCACTGGATAGTTTTGATGTGCATCTGCTGGAATCTTGCAGGTTCTTACAAAGGTCAGATCTTTCAGTGAGTTGCTGCCAGGTTTAAGTTGGTACAAGTTGCTCCCAGAGGTTGCTCTCTGAAGAATTACTTTGCAAAACAACATTCTTTGATTTTACTGGAAGAACAGGCACTGGCACAGAATAGTCCAGCCTGCTCCTGGGCTGTGTGACAGCAGATACGCTCAAAACACTTTCTCTCATTGTTCTTCCACATCGGTTTGCAGTGTAAACAAGGAAATTCTTTGCTAAGCCTCATGCATAATTGTACCCACTTTAGTAACTCACTGGCCAATAGTACAATATCACAAGCTAACCAGCAATCTTACCTTTGATAGCAAACCATTTGCTAGTGTTTTTAGAGATTTGTCCAATGTGAAAGGTAGTATATAAGTGCAAGTTGTCCAGATCAGCTATGGCTCTTAACCTCTCCTGTTGCTCTGCCTAAGACGCTTTCTGCCACCTTGCTCTTTGCCCACTTTTACCCCAATTATTTTGACATGTCTTCATTGGGCTGACTGTCTTAAAGGGGTAGTAATTATCGACCACTTTTGTGACAGTGATTCCAATCATTACAGTAATTTGCCAATCAGAAATAAGAGTTTAAAGTCAAAGTTCAGGTTACCCAATTGTATGAACAACTGCAACAACAATTTGGTGCATCAGTCGTATTATGTATGGTCCCAACTGGTACGACTACGCAAGGTTTACTGTACCTCATGAAGTGAACAAGGGAATTTATAATCCTCCTGCCCTCTCCCTCATTCTCTCCTCTCCCCCTCCCGCGAAACCAACAAATAAAACTCACAAGAAGACATGCAGCAAACGTACCTAATATTTTGGGTTGGGGTCGCATTTCTGAAAGAAAACAAATTATAACCGTAAGCCAAACCCAGTATTATTTAGACACAGTAAGTAAAATACATGTTAATGTAATTCTTTGTATGAGTATTGACTGTTGATTTATTGAAAGATAATCTGAGCACACAATTATTACACAGACACCAAACTTCTTTAGATCAAACTGAGGTTCAGGTAAAAATGGGCACGTTTTCTGCAGCAATCATGAGTTCTGGAAGATTGGAACAAATAATTGGAGTCGAATACCTTGTAACTTTCAAAGAGGTATACTTTTTTTCTTTCTATTGCTAGATTGGGCTGCTATTCTCTTCCCAAGGCCCCACTGGTCGCTGATAAATCAATCACTTTTAGTTTAAGCCTATAATATTATAATTTTAGGCAATATTCAGAATAACTCCCTTCATCACATTGACAAACATTTTCTATAGTGGCTTACAAACGGTTACAACAATCATAAAAACAGGATGCGGTAACTGATCGAATCCAAATTTGACAATCGATGGACAGAAATCCAGGCTTGAAGCTTTGGCATCTGGATTATTCTTTGTTTTTTTTCAGTAGCAAAAAGTGAAAACTGAAATTCAGCCATTTTCCAGTGACCTCGAACTGACAATAGTGATTTTGTGGTTTACGTTTGGCAGAGTGCAACCTCTCATTCCTATTGAGAAATGCTCTTTGACCTGTGAAATCTCCACGTCACTGGTTTTCAAAAGCCCTTTGCAAGAGGATTTAGCAGCTCTTTCCCTTGTGCAGGTCCCGCTGGAGGGATATTGATCCACTTCAAAACGTAAGCATTTCTCTCTGACTTGGATGAAAAAGATGCATTCGGAATATTTTTTCCTGTCACCATCTCTCTTGCCATCAATACCGTACAAATCCCTCTAAATAACAATTGTGACCACTTCAGATACAAATGTTGATTTACTGAAAGATAGCCCAAGCACAAATTATAACTGCAAGTCACAACAGACAACAGGACAAATGTGACTGACTACATTCTTTGTGATGTGACATTATTTTTTGCTGTGACAGCAATTGTCAATACAACACAAAGCAAACTGGCCTAACCCAAGCCGTCGGTTCATCAAAATAGAAAAGTGCTGCTAAACCACATCCATTCAGAGATCAATATCGAGTGACTCACGCAGAGAAAAAGCACAGATGTAGTAAACAGTCCTGGGGAAAGGGTTGAAGGGTTCAAAGGAGTACAGTGAGGTTGAGCAACAGAACAGACTAGAAGATAAGAATGAATTAAAATGTCTGGCACATGGCTGGAAGCTGTGAAGGAGCTGCCACGGGACCTGCAGGAATCATCCTTGTACAGAAGTAAAAAGTGTCAGAAAGAGAACAGTTTAGTTGTTAGGGGAATCATCAAGATTGCTAGGACTGCTACTCGGCGGTGACAACAGGACAGACACAGCAAAACTAATTTGCCGTTTGTTTGAGATGGAATATGTGGGGAAGACGTACTTGAGCCAAGATCACAAACTGGTAAAGCTTTACCTGAACTGTTGCAGGTAGTTTCTGGTGATACCACCTCTGGCCTGAGAAGCAGAGATTGTGAATCTAACCAATGCCCTAACTATTAATGGGATGCTTAGTTGTTTCGACTCACAGCGAAACTTTAAACACATCAAAAAATCAATGCTTCTCAATTTGCCAAATTAAAGTGTTTGAGTTGTTTGAAGGAATCCTCCTGCTTCCTTCAAGACATTAAGCTTGATCGCCACCACATAGGGTATTGTTTATGGGTTTGTACATTAAAAGAGACTGCAGCCCTTCACTGCCTTTCTGGTGTTGGCATTATCAAGCTTCTATTTGACTTGTATGACTAGAATGGAACAATTAAGCAAACGTATATTTAAGCCTGTAGAGATGAATAACTGTTTTAAAACAAAAAATACATGGTAAACAGTTTCTTCTGAGCTACGTTGTAAAGGGCATTATATATAGCTAGTGGTTGCAATAACACATCTATTTATTCATCTCCTCCCTACCATACAGGCTGATTGAACCCCAAAATTGGGAATTCTGCCCTAAATCACTATAGTCGTAGTCATTGAGCTTTTTAAGTACATGGTTTTATTTCAGTTAAATTGTCCCGTGTCCAACACGGATTTAAACATATTAAAAAGAAACAATTTTTTGAGCAATTTTCTGAGACCCATTGGGCCTTATCCTCACAGTCTAGAAATGGAGAAACTTTTCAACAGAGAACTTGAGCAAACGTAGGTTAAAAGCTGAATCTGCTCACTATTCTCCCCCCCCCCAAAGTGCTTGAAATTATCGGGGCGGTTGTCTGTGCCTGATGTTTAAGGAGAAAGAACCAGTTACTGTAAAATCCTCAGTTTAAAAAAATTGCATCAGTCTGTAAGTTGTGTAAACAATTAACACCGAGGCAACATTCTTGACAGTTCATATGGTGAGACTCTGCATTAGACTGTCTTGTTGTAATAATAATAATAAATCTTATATTTATGGCTGGTTTATTGAGATGGGGAATATCATCAGTGGGGAATGGAACACATTTCTATTTTTTGCATTCAGTGTCAGCCCTGAGCACTCCCAGGTCTGCTAACTATAGCTTGCGTTAGAAGCAGAGCCATTTTTAGGTTGTTTTAGTGCTTCTGCCTCGTTACAAGATTAACCACAGTACTTAACACGGTGATGGAATCGTGATTAATAAATGCAGATGTTTTGGCTTCTATATTTGCTTGTATTAAGCTTCCAGTGATTCTGCCTCGCACATTTAGGAGTCATATTCTGTTGTCATGTCGAAACTACTCACATAAATACTACTGATGATTTATGGCAAGAAAAAAATGGCTTGATCTGGAATCTTGAATTTCGGCAGGCGTTAAACACCAGTTATGTAAAACAGATTGCCTGCTATCTCAGCTAATCTATCTGAATCTTTGCACCAGGGTAAGAAACAGCGTTATAACAAGTTCCCATCAAGTAAAGGAATTCACAGTCAGCGTTTAGAAATAAGATACATCAAAGGACAATTTTGTGGGAAATTGGAATGTGAGGATAGGTTTCTGATGCCAGAAATTATTACTGTGTTATGCTGTGGACTTACAATGACAGCATTGTAAAACAGAATGAAAGTACTCTTTCATTTGTGCTTAGGATTTACTGGAGAGAAGAAAGATTCAGCCAAAATGTTTGTCTGGTTTCGAGATGAGATTCAAGAAGTGTTCTGCTCCACTGCACCACCGAGTGGGCCATCTATTTGGGGATATCAACTTTAACACTAGGTTTCTCAACTTATTGTGGGAACATTTCTGTGCGTCACTGACCTGAGGCTTGAATGCCTAGGAGATCCTCAAGATCATAGACACTTCTGATATCTGCTTGAGCGATTCTGCTCAGGATATCCTCTGGGATACCTTGTTCTGCACCCAGGTTTTCTGACACTTTCTGGTGGAGAGACACAATACATCCATTATAACTGAGACAAATTAACTATTCATTCTCTCAGGGTGTATGAATCCTATAGGTTCACTCCCCGACTCCAACGATGCAGAAGTGTAACATATTTAAAATTTTCTGAACTAGAATATTGAATATTTGTTGCGTTTCAAAAAATCAGGTATCCCCAGAGAGAAATGCAAATAAAAGAGTGAAAGCGGGTCAATGCAGCAATAATGATTGGTACAAGATTTCTTTACTCAAATCAGGTACATTTTGATATGTTTTCACAGACATCTGGGGGGAAATCGTCGAGTGGTAGCTCATTGTGAATGATCACTGAATGTAAATGCATCATTCACTGGGCAATGAATAAGCTGAAACCGTACAGTAAACCAATAATATGGAATACTGCAAAAGTGATGCTGCGTGAATCCCCTTTGACAGATGAAATAAACATCGGCAGATGACAGATTGTTATCGAAAAACACACGCTATTCAAAATCTCTTGAATGATTATCAGTGGAAATGTATCAAATTGTATAGCATTACAGAAAATGTCTCATTTTCAAACGTCAGATCTGTTCATCAGCTCCATCCGTCATGGGTACATTTACCAAGAAGTGATGGATAATAAATCGCTTTAGCTGTATATGTTTTTTTTAACTTGTTTACAGAGGGAAACTGGTCTTTGTCTAGCACTGATCGAGCTCACAGTTGCCTTGCATTTCTGTGAATAGCCATGAAATGAAAAGATTGTGGTTATGCATTTAACGGGCACAACCCTATATTTAGGCCAAGCGCTTTACTGGTGTCTTCCAAATGCTTTGTGGGTGTCTTAAAGCCCTATTTGGGTCAACAACAGCTGTCTTTTTACATTTGCACTGTCAAAGAATAGTTTGCACATAACTGAATCAACTTTATATGAAACCAACGCAGTTTGCTCTAAAGAGTTCCCAAAATAGGCACTAAAAGTGTTCGGAGAAATGTCACAATTAGAGTGAAGTCTTGTACTAAGGGCTTTGGAACAAGTAAGGCCTGAGAAGGACAACATTCCAGCTATTGGTGTATGAAAGAGATCTGACCTTGTAGTATTTATTCTGGTTCTTTTTCTAGTTTCCAGCCCAGACTGAGCAAATGGAGGTCTGATCTTTGAAAGCTATTAAAGAGTCACAAAGCAGAGCTACACAACAATAGAACAGGAACCACATACCACTTCCGCTTGGGCTGCAGTAATTCACTTGTACAACTGAGCACATGTTACACGGAGTGTACTAACACTCATTCTATTGCTGGAGTTACATCAAACTGCAAAACTTGATCAAGTCTATAAGAGAGACCGAACTTAACAGAACAGGTGCTGTAGGCCTTTGTGGATACATGTTCTTCCTTAAAGTAACATGTGGGCTTGAACTTAATAGTATAAAGTTCTTAAGTCTAAGCAGTATTTAATAAAGGAAATATTTTGGAAATGTCACTCTGAAGGACTGGGCCGTGGAGGGAAGGATTCTGATATTCATCACATGACAGAAGCTCATCATTCAAAGCAAACTGACAAACTGGGGGCTTGTTGACTGCTTCCCTCCACCTCCATTACATTGCCTACCTCTGACCGTACCTCACACCCAATACAGCCTTATCCACATATTCATTGCTTCCCACCTTGATTATTCCAGTGCCCTCCTTACTGGTCTCCCCAATTGCACCATTCACAAATTCCAATTAATTCAAAATTCACCTGCACCAAATTGCGTACCCTAATCACCCCAGTGCTTGCCAGGCTCCATTGGCTCCCTTCCAGCGCCTTGGGACGTCCTCCTGACGTGAAAGGCGCTTTATAAATGGAATCTTGTTGTTGTTGTTGTTTTACAGAATGAATGGATTTCACGATCCTCACACTCATTTACAAATCTCTACATAGTTTAAGTTAACACTGCAATCCAGCACCTGGATGCTGCTGCATTGGCAAAGGTGCCATACTTTGAATGAGATGTTAAACCATGGTACCATCTGCATGTTCAGGTGAGGTGGATGTTAAAAAACTATTCAAAAAAAGAAGGGAGTTTTTATTTTTCTGGCCAACAATAAAATCGGTTGCAGGACATTGCTGTGTGCAAATTGGCTGCCATGTTTGCCCACAAATACAGCCACATCACATATCCAATAAAGCACTTTGGAACTTCCTCCCAATGTGAAAGGCGCTATACCAAATGCAATGATTATTATTATTGACATGCACAGTCCATTCTGCAAATAATTTCAGCTCTTATCTTCATGAAAACATCCAGTAATGCTAACCCTACCATCTTTCATTTCAAAAAATACTTTTAGGTTGTTCTAAACCTGTCCTATAAAATTCTGAACATCTCCCCTCTTTGTCCTATTGTCACAGGGTATCTAAAATACTATTTAAGATTTATTCTCTCCATAAAACCTTATATACCTTATATATCAAAGTTACGGATCTGGGACGGAATATTGTTAGTGCAATAATAAGGCAGAATAGAACGAGATGGAATAATCACAACGATAGCTAAATGTAAACGTTTGAATGTTTTAAATAGTAAAATACAATTTTAAAAAATCTTAATTGCACTACATCCAATTTGGACTCTTCTTGACAATTGCTTTGGTTTTGGATGAAGTGAGTGACCTTGGATGACCCAGAAAGTTTTATAAATTGAAAATTGAAGCTTGGCTGGGGTGAGCCTTTCTGAAGCTATGTTTTGTTGCTTTTCTCTGCAGAAACAGGTCACTTTCAAATGAACTCAATGGTGTTAAGGAATTGTAGTTCAGTTACAAAGAATTATACTTCGATTGCCAGGGGCTAGGGTGCGTGCTGCAGTTGACTTCCAGGAAAACGAGTGAGGATTCCTACTCTCATCTGGTCTCCAGAGATATGGATGGTTTTGTGTTTATGTTTCTATCAGTGAGGACAGGAACCGATTCAGCTGTGTTGCGCCCTGCAGCTGAAAAGCCTGTCAATACTTGTGGTTCAGGCTGACTTCTGAATAACTTGCACAAGTTACCCATGTAAGGGCAATGACTGATCAAAAAAATATTTCAGGATAGGGAGGAGGAAAATAGCCATTGGAAACAATGAGCTAATAGAATTTCCCTGCCTAATCAAGCTGTTAACATTTGGTATGAAATTAGGTACCTTTATAGGGTTTGACGGATGCACTCAAATCATTCATCTTAAATGGGAAAGTGATTCATTTGAATACATAATATAAAATAAAATATAAGGCGAACCAGTACAGAACAGAATGACACAAGGCTCCAAAAACAGGACACATGAATGTGCCTATCACACCTATCATAATCTCCTAGTTGTGAATGCTATATGTGGCCTGTAGGCTATGCTGTAATGCTGATTATGGCAACTCATACCTCAGCACATACTGTATAACCTGTATATTTCCTGTTTAAATATATACTTGGGTGTCTCCATGTGTGGCATTCTCTGAAAATAGAGATGGTTTGTGTGCAATGTGTAGTCGCATAGAAACTGCAGGTTATTTCCCATTTCACAATCGAGTGGGTGATTTGACAGCTCAGGTGAAGTTGTCAAGCAATGATTTTTCATATCATTCCTTTTGAATAAATACAGCACAGTTTTGTGGTGAAAACAACAATTCAACGTGTGCTTGATGCACTCAGGCACAGAGCTCCCTGGGACGGTAGATTGCTGTAAATGTTAGTAATTCAGTGATTAAAACGTGTGAACGATTGCATTTGGTTTGGAATTCCTCAAACATAATTTATAATGGTGGTTGCAAATGGCAGTGGGGTGGGGAGGGGGAATTCAGTGAGTATCTACATGGAGCACTCCCCAGGAGATAGCATGGGTGAGGTTGAAGTCTATGCCCGAATAGGTTTTATGTAATATATAGAAGAGAGTGTCTGAAAGCAATTTCTCCTTCAAAGCTTATCATCCAAACTGTCTAACTCGGACCCAGTCAATCAAAGCAAAATAAACAGCTTGGTGGAAACTGACCGTCTTCCAAAAGTTTTGCAATAAGGAGCTTTCTGGCAGCTCTTAAAACTGTCCAAACAACTTTTTTTTTTTAGTCAACAAAACATGTGGCGATCGCAACAGAAGAGAGATTTCTATTGCCATGTTTGACACTCCACAGCTCTGCTTTGAACATTGGAATTCTTGGCTTATAAGCCAGAAATTCTCGATGGCACTGGTGGTTTTTGAAGACCTTTTTTTTTTAATAAAAAAAAACAACAAAAAAAGAGAAAATCTCTTTAAAAATCGGCAGTACCGTAGGCTCACATTTCGTATTGCTACTATTTGCAAAAATAAATTGGATTTTCACAACCTCTGGTGAGGAGTTTCTGGAAAGTGGGTGTTTAAAGTTTGGCCATTGTAAGAGCAGAGAGAGTTTTCTGCTGAGCCCCAAAAGTAATACATTGCAAAAACTTAAGACAGGGTTCGCTTCGTACAATTTTGTGAGACTGTCTGTGTCAACTGGACTTTCTTGTATGGTAATGCACATGCATGGATGGCATTTTGCGTCTTTTTTTTTAAATCAAATGTACCTGTGACAAGGTGTGCTAAGCCTGGTTTTACTGATGGGTTCAGCCTCGCCTTCCTGTGCTACTGTTTTATGAATGGGATCAACAGGGTTTTTTTTTAAATATACATATTCATACCCTTATTCACATTTGGGGAATTGCATGTGCGCTCATGGGCTGCAGGACTTGCACACACACACACACACACGGTGTCTCAACTTCACAAGCACATGTGTCTGCAGCTCTCAGTCCCTGACCATGTCATCATTTCATAAAGAAGTTATAGAATTTCAACCGAAACTGTGCATCGAGTTCCGTTGTGTGCAAGAGATTCGGGTCAACAAAGAGAGACGGATTACCAATGGCACGAATCAGGACATTTGGCATCAATGATTTAAATATGGATTGCAATGCAGGTAATGCTGCATTAATATCCATTGCACAAATAGACAATACTATCGATTGCACAAGCAGTAGATCCAGCCAATACTTGTTGCTCGCACACACGCATTGATTTTACATTATTGTAAAGGGGTACAGTTATTAATTACCTCAGAGAAGACCGTCCAAAAGCAGAAGAGAGACACCAGAACAAGATGCTGAGATCTCATGTTGCTCGCACTGGTTGTCTGCAAAAGATCCATTTGTCGTGGCTATGTGGTGATGAACTGAATTGTACTCTGGATAATTGCAGAGGTAGTCAGTGGCTTTTCTTTTTCCCCTGAACAGCTCGACAGGATTTGTAAATGGAATCCTTGCAAACTTCTCCCAGAGTGAATCCACGCCCACAAAACCCAGTGGAAGGCATTCGGGAACATCCTATGCCTTTTAACTCTTAGATTGCTTAACTTATTCAGGGATTATAAATGCAGCCAAAATCGCTGCGCTTCGAAAGTGATTCATTTGCTTGGGCAAAACTTGCGCTCTTTTTACGTGGATCCTGTTTTTACACCGTACATCAAATAAATAGGTATTGTAAAAGATCTCAACTGAAAAAGATAAGTCACTCGGTTCCACTAGAAAACCTTGAGGGCACCGTTCTGTAATTTTTTTTCCCCCAAAATATTGATTGCCTTTAAAGTCATGTTTTTTTGAACCACAAAAAGCTAAAGATTATGAAAAAAAAACTGTTTTCAAGAAGTCCTGAGAGAAAGGACTTAAGTTACTCCATCCGTCTATGTGGTTTTGAAAGAGCTGCCAAATAAAATCGTGGTCAATAAAGATTTGGCTGATGTCGTATTAAAGGCTGCTCTTTACTTTGGGCTTTCACACCGTGTCTTAAGGTTCAGTGTAAGAAGAGGTGTTGAAGTCCAGAAATACCAGAATTTTCAGTGGAAAACAGCAGCTGCTATTGTCAAAAGAGAGAGCAATGAACTTAATACACACAGGTCTGGGCAAGATACACAAGCCAGGATTAGAGAGGCATAAATGAGGTTGTCTGAAATGTATACAGGTTTGCTTTCTCTCACAACAAAATGCAGCATTGCTATGAAATAAGAGAGACGTGGATGGTATGCAAGTACACACACACACACACCACACACCCCACCTGTTCAGAGGAGCAAATAACGACTGGGGAGGGGGAAAAAAAACAAGATTAATTTCTTTCTGCTGAATTGGAAAATTCAAGTCCTTCATTTCGGTAGGTTTAGAATTGTTATTTATATATGGACCGCGTCCAAGTGTACCACAAAACAGGTTTCATGCAGTCAGATTCACAAATTTTAGGATAATGTCCTTTGACATAAAGACCTTGCTCTTCGACCATGCTTAGGGTCACCTCCTCTCTCCCCCCTCCCCAGCTCGGCCTCAGGCTCCACCACTGTTACGCGCTCCGAGGTGCTGCCCGTGGGGGGGAAAAGCGCTATATAAATGCAAGTTGTTGGTGGTATTTTGCTCCAAGCCAGTGCTAAATTGTAAAGTGAGACTTTAGACGGTCTCCACTTAGTTTTTTTTTCTAGACTTACTTCTCATCGTCTGAACTAGCGGTAGTGCAATTGCATGAGTTATCCTGAAACAACTGGGACACCGGGTGGGACCCAAAGCAAGAACCTTGAGTACTGAACTGTTGGGTTCTGATTAGGAAGTCAAGTTAAATCTTTAAACTATGGACAGCTAAGCTGTGCACTTTATTCGACAGTTGTTATACATTGTTAATTCTTCTCCTCCCGTTACCTTCAGTTGTGGAGCCCTGTAGCTCAGTGGTTAGAGCACTCGCTTTGCAAGCGAGAGACCTGAGTTCAATTCCAGACAGGTCAGGGCCAAACCTTGGGCAAGTTTCCTTACTCCACACAGAGCCTAATAATAATCCCTCCAAAACCAAAAAACAATAATAAATTGGTCATTTTCAATCTACGACTGTTTGTGGGACATTGCAGTGCGCAATTGGCTGCCGCGTTCGCCCACAAATATACAGTCAGTTCACTTTGCAGTGTGTTCTGTGAAGCGCTTTGGGACGTCCTCCCGACGTGAAAAGCGCTATATCAAATGCAAGGATTATTATTAGTATTATTATTCAAGACAATTTCAGACATTCTGGAATTTCTGCAGTTTACTTCTTCCTGAAATTGCTGGAGTTAACGAAAGGTGATGAAATGATGGAACAGTCCAAGTCTGACAGTTTTTAACCCCGAAGACAACACATTTGCTTCACCACTTCCTATTCTCACATGAAAGATGGCTTTTGTGTGGACAGCACCTGATATGCTATGTCCTAGGCTGAACAAAATAGTTCTCAAATAAGTTTAAAGAGTCATGTTTAAGAGTTAAGAGACTGCGAGTGTAAAGCGCTATGGGAGCTATTAAGTACAAGTTAAGTAAGAATAAGAAAACGCCTTGTGTTAGATGGAAAGTGCATTGCTTAGAGGTGTTTTGTGCCACGGTTATCGAAAAGGTGTATTGTTAAATGTGTTAACGCACCCACAGTTATAGAGTTAGAGTCCTGGGTCCACAGACTACTCTAAGGGGTATGATTATGGTATTATATTTTTAAAATTGGACCCAAAGAACTGTCTTATTCCGTCGGTAAGCAGTGGGAGTGGAAAGGTTGTACCAAGTCTAAAGTGAAAATAAGTTAAGAATCCAGTTGATCAAGTGTGTCACCAAGGGGTTAAAATTTAAACTAAGTTAGAAACCTAATTGACTAAACGAAGTTGGGAACCTGGTTGGATAAGTTTGTCACCATGAATGATTTAGAGGAATTTTTAAAGGAATTTCATTCTGATATGTCCATTTGTGAATTATCAGATGTGATACATGAAGACTTTGAAGGAAGTAGAAGAAGACGGAAAGCTAGAGTAAGTCAGGAACAAGGCAAAATTATAATACTTAATGCTCTTACAAATATTAGTTTTCCCAAATTGAGTCAAAAGATAAATTAAGTATGAAGCAAGACTATGAGCAATTGCAGGCTCAGTACAGCAAGTTAGAAAAAGCACAGGAAATGTCTACCACGAAACAACCTTCTTACAAGACCATCTTCTGCGTTTAAACCAAGTGAGAGTTAAAACATGTACCGTCTAGAGCGGTGATATTTGACGCTGAGAACCAATCGCTTTTCACACACTTGAGATGCACGCAGTCCACCTGCCAATGGTATGGGAATCACGGGGACAATTTCCATTTTGAAAATATACATTAACCCTGTATTGTATGTTAAAATATATGTTAACCCATGTAGTCAAAATAATTATTTTAATCAATGGTAAGAAATGCTCGTGATGAATAGACACCATTTTGATTAATGGTTAAAAATGATGTAGCTAAGAAAATGACATGACTTGTTATTGCAGCTGAAGATGTCTTCTCGTAACAAATTCATGTCTGTGTTAAACATGTTTTCTGTAACAATTCAAGTTTTATCATAATTCATGTTCTTCCGTAACAGTAACAATTCTACAGATTGCATTTTATTATTATTTAATTGAGATAATTGCTTCATGAACGTGAGAAAGGCAGAGGGTGAACCAGATACATGATTGATCTTGGTGATATTATTTGGTGCTGTGAGGTGACAGAAACCCCACCTAGTTAATTTTACAGCAGGATTCATTGGCCCATGTGTACTTTATTTTTTCTTTCATCAGTCAAGGAAAAATGACACAGGCAGTTTTCTTTTTAAGAATTAACTTTTATTGCTTGACCTGTCATTAGGACACTCTATAACAAAAGGAGTATTATTTTAGCACATACAGTAAATCTGATCTCATACAGTCATTGGGAACAATACAAAAAATGGTCCTTGGATAACCTACATATTATCACGCTGTGATCTTGCTTTGCAATTTTTTCATAGGTGAGCTAGCTGAGAATTTCTCTAAACCCCATATAAGATACTAAGGCAAACTACATCGATTGTGGTCGTTTGTACGTACAGTTCTGATTGCACACAATAGGTAAAGCTTTTAACTGCATCAGATTATTCAATAAACTCAGTATTATCAGCTGCTTTATAATAAAATCATTTAGGTAAATAAAAACCTCAAGAATGTGCAGCAAGCAAAAGCCAATCTGCTAGATGACACAGTAATTGCAATTGGGATTTTTTTTTAATAATGGCTTCCAAGAACGATCATAATTGTACCCGATTTCAATCTTCCTAATAATACGATTCTGTGTCCTAAGGTGACCTTTACCAATTCTCTGTTCAAATTTTCAAATTGTGGGATTACAATTTTCCTCATATCTTGATAACTCTTATGTTCATGATTTTACCTGGGCAGCACACTAGCATATCTAGATGTGGATTACTTCCATATAAGGTGTCCGACCTAATTTTCCTCATGCTGAAATCCCAACACTGAGATTAGGCCAAAGGCAATATTTCGAAACGCAATACCAACTATTTTTTGCCAAGGAGGTTGGCGAATCTCAAGAATTTCATCTCATTAGAAATTACATATTACTTTGTCACTTTCAGGCATTAAAAGCTACATCAAAGAGTAACTGAATTTTGAAACTTTATATAAAAAGATGTTGATAAGTTTCGCTAGACTCCACAAGCCAGGAAGAAAGTAAAAACAGATCCATGGTTACCATTAGCTAATGGAAGGTATAGATAGAGCAGACTGACTCAGAAAAAGAGAGAATTCTTAATAGTCATGACTCCCAATTTTTAAGAAAGGAAACATTGGCCAACTGTCAACCCCCACTCGAGTGAACACCATTCCTTCAACATTATTAATCTTGCTTGCATTTTCATACATTATCTTCTGCCCTTAATAACATCCTGAAATGCCACATATTGCATCTAAACTGCTGTACTGTATGTATACATGAACAGAGATGGCTGACGTTTTACAAGTTTTTAAATTCAGCACCTTATCATTGATAATTTAGTCCGTAACAAATCTTATTTAAAATGTCTGCGGTGATGAAATAGATGCAGAGCAAAACCTACAGGCAATCAATATCCAAAAGTAAAATCCAAATCTCCAACCAGTTTAGTTTCAGCTTGCTGTACAATCCAAAGAACAATTCTAGTCTAAGTCATTCTATATAGAATAATGGATATAATTTCATCTACTTACAGTGTGGAATTTGTAAAATTTCTTTGTGTAATGGATGCACATATAACACAAAGCTGTGAAATACTGAAATGACATTAAGACTCAGCAATGAGTTCCCCCCACCCCCGCTTTATTGAAAAGCCTCAAAGTAAAATTGCATGTCATGACTTACTAAAAAAAAAAGCCATTGTGGTACATGTCAGAATGCAAACGCATCTGCTGGTTGGGGACCCATCAACCAGTTTTTGGTATTGGGTGGGATTCTCTCCGAGACAGTGACTGGGCGTACATATATATATATAGATATATATACATATATTTAGATATATATATACATATATTTAGATATATATAAAATATAACACCAATTGAGCTATATGGTGTATGGCGATAATGGAACAACAGCGCCAGCTACTGTGAGCTACAAGAAAGTGCAACTAAAATTAAACAAAATGACATGTGCCGCACCAACTTAAATGCCAGCTATTTAATGTTCATTTAGGTAGATATCAAATTGCACCACTCTGGTCCAATCCAGTACACTTGTAATACCTGTTGGTACAGGTTCAGTGTCATCAGAAAGTACAGAATCAAGAAATAGGATAAATTATAAACCTCTGATTGGAACTGCGATGGAATTCAAGTGACGCCATCCCTCGAAATGTCTGCTGTCAGTATAGATCCAGTACCAGTGCTCAGAGTACCTGCACCTGCACTAATGCTGTTCATACTGCTCTGTTACTAAAAGGAATGTTGTTGTTTTTTTTAAACCTGGGAATGAAACCACGTCTGGTTAATACATAAGGTTTCCTTTCGCAACCCTTTCACTAGCTCAGTCTCACAATAACAGGTTGAAAAAAAATTCTACCTGAAACGAGACAGTAAAATCCACACATTGCCTAGCTTGTACTAACTAGCTCTCATGTTCACTGGGAAGGTTGCTTTACTGCACATTGCTTTACAAAGAAAAGCGATTTATTCAACTGAATAACCAATGAACCACTGCAGTAAGGAAGGAATAAGCATTTCCATACATTAATGACTTAAACAGGTACTTCTAATGTTTGACAAGCAAGCAGCACTAACTGACCTTTACAGATTTCAGTGTCCAATTGAAACAGAGCACTTTGCACAGCAATTCTAGCCAATAAGGGTCATAATCAATATAGCTAAGGGAAGCTGAATCGTTTATTTTGCATTTCCCCCCCCCCATTTGGTTGAGTAAATTTAAATGGTTTCACATGAACAGACGTTTTTAAAATAAAGCAATCTGAAGATTTGTGGCATTTCAAACCTCTGCACATGTACCGCAGGGTAAAGATAACTGTTCTCTCCAACAGTACTCACCATTGCACATCCTGCCCAGCTGGCCACCAGGAGGCACAATTCAACAATGGCAACACCTTACAGTAATTTTCCATTGCTTGGGAGATCATATAATATACAATTCTCCTCCATCAGTACTTGCAAGCTCATCTGAAGCAAACAAGTTGATGTGGTAAGCTGCTCAGAGACTCGAGAGCTGACAGAAAATTAATTCTGAGCTAATGACTCAAAGCTAAGCTGATTGACACAGCTCCTGCTGTTTCCAGTTGTAGTGAAGGGGAGCGAGAAGAAAGCTACAGACCACCACATCATATGATCAATCAAACTTCATTTGCTTTAGTCTTAGAATTTGATATTTCATAAATGTTGCAATAATGAACATTGCAACTTATGAAATGTCTTCAATTACTTAAGTATGAGCCCACTGAACTAGATTTGGCCACCAACGGTGTTTTTGGTCACTGAAATAACATGCTGGCCCATTAAACTGAACTCCATTAAATAAAGTATCACTGGATGAGTCCCAATGGCATTCTATCTTTGTCTGAAACAAGCAATTTATAGTTGTATACTATGCAGAAAATCTGGCATATGAATGAAGCACACACTAAGAATAAAACTTGTTTCTCAAGCAAACATTTTGCTCAATGTTGTACTTATTAATTTCAGGGAGCCCAATATATATATAATATATATACACACACATACACACAAATTGCAAATTAGCGAAAGTTAAAAATTGACCTACCAATATTTTCTGGACTTGCATTAGTTTCCTTACAGGTACCTTAATGTGAAAGGGGAGTATTCAATCATGCGTACTCCAATTTGGCAAAACCAGAAGCACCAATATGGGCCTTCACTTAAAACAAGGCCTTAAGCTGTAGGAAAGAATCTTTCAATAATTTTCTAATTGCTTCCGAAAATTAAAAGGCAACTATCTGCTCAAAAAAACTAAAATGAACCTGTGACCTAAGACTTTTTTTTAAAAAAATGTTGCCAAGTGGAAACATCAATTTTTAAAAAAAAACATTTAAACATTTTCTATCTTGACAATTCAAAATAAAACTAAGTTGTGGTAATTTAGTGTTTGCCAATACTCGAAACATTATATATATATTTGACATTTCCCTCCCCCCAGCCCAAAACCCAAGGTTTTCCATTATTGTAGTACAAGCTCCTGGGATTCAACAAGTGAACAATAAACTAGAACCTTGAAGCAGAGGAAGTGAAAGGGTTGAAATCCTCTGCACATATAACCAAATTAAAGCTTCATTTATCTGGGTACAGGTCACAATGAGTTTAGTAAAAACAGCAGTGTTTTAAGTTTAATTAACTCAAATTAGGAAGAGTTCTATGTTCATGATTCAAAGCAAAAAAAAATGTCAGGTTATAATAATCTTTAGCTGAAGCTGGGTTGGCTGTGTAGGAAGCTGGTGCAGTGTTTCGAGCAAAAAAAAAACGCAAAGCAAATGTGGCATTAGATGCTACAGAGGGAATGCTTTCTCTGATGGACAGGAAGCTGTGGGGAACTGTTGTTTTGCCACAGGAAGCGGCATTTCAAATGGACACGAGGCAGTTCACTCTGGTGGATGCTGCAATAGGGGGAAAACAGGGATTTCAGACAGACAGCGATACAAAGCTGTTGTATTGCTGAATGTTTCGTTTGAGTATGTCCGAACAGGGACCCAGGACACGTTCAAACCGAGGTCTGTCCAGCTTCACACACTTCAATGGGCCGCGTGCTACCACTGTGGCAGCACGGGGACGGTTCATCAGAAGAGCAATTTCACCTGAGGGGGAAATGAAACACATAGTAAGTAATGGAAAGCTTACTTATAATTCCAAGTCGCAGCCTCACGATGGCTCTGAGCTGCAGAGTGCAGAAAGTCCAGATTTGATTCCTCAGTGCTAAGTTGGCCAAGCCAGTTGCAATTTGATTATTTTTAAAAAAAACTATTCTATACATTGCAGATAGGTGGTATGTTTACAGCAATTATTTAGTCTCTGGGCATTGACAAACAAGCTTTACTCTCATGATTTACAAAGTCATTAAAACTATCTAATTTAATAGTTACATCCATCAACTGTGAATTATCTGACCTTAATAAACTGGTAGCAATTAGTTGACAAATGCTAGTTGGTTCAATAAGGATACCATTCTGCATTGGCTATGGTTGCAGAAATGGCTACAAAGCATTCAACACTGGTTCAGCAAAGGTAAAAGTGAAAGATTCATTATCGAAAAGGGAGCAAGATGGATTGCAGATCAATTTGAACTAAGGAACTGCATGCATTAAATGGACCAGTAATCAGATAATTACTCCCCTCCCCCAGATGTGTCCTTGGTAAACTTCTAAGTTTTAATTTGCCGTTTCAGCAATGCACTCAGAGATACTGATGTGAATAGCTTTCTTCTGTGCTGTAAATCTCTATGATTCTACGGAATAGTTGAAAGAGTCCTCCAAAGGGCCTGGAGCTCTTTTTTTGAAAAGGCTGAGGAGCCAGCCATGTGAGATGAAGCTAAATAAAAAACAGGAGAGCTAGAATGATCTCAGGCACAGAGGAAATCCCCCCTCACGCTTAATATAAGTCCCGATCCATTGGGTTATGGATTTGTTTCCCAGTTTCATGGAAACAGATCTAAGGCAAACTTTGTAATATTTAACATCTAATTAACACGACAGAAAAACAAAAAAGTTAACATTTGGACAACTTTGCTTTTTTTTAAAAAAAAGACCGCACTCACCAAAATAATCTGATGGTCCCAATCTTCCAACTTCCACAAACTCTTCATTTTCTGACCTGCGCTGTAACACCGCTGCTGTGCCCTGCAACAAAAACATAGCAGCCAAGATAAAGTACTTTACAAGTAGTAATATTACAGACTCTTAGGATAGGGGTATCGGTCTTGGCACGGAGAAGGAGGATAACTGATCCCACCAGGAATTTACTTCTTGTTCAAGTTGTTCTCGTAGTGGCCTATTCTCGTATTAAACAAAAGGTCTGCCCCTGACCAGTCTTCAGTTTCTTGCACCTGAAGTCGCCTGCATTATAGGTTACACCAGCAAAAGAATCTGTCAATTAGATGTCACTCAAGTACTCCAAACCAGAGGGGAGGAGTGAAAGAAAGATAGCACAGAGGCAGAAGAAGTTTTTTTTAAAACAAGAGCAAAACAAATACAGGTCATTGTTCTTACTCATTGGTTTATCCTCTTCATACCTCACAATTATGCCATACTGCTAACAGCAACAACAGATGAATATGAAAAGGGAAAAAAAATCCTAAAGAGCAATCTACGTCCCAAGGTTTTTAGGTAGATTGAGAACTGACAGAGGGGAGATACATCTGACAATTTCACAGCACTGTAGCTTAAGGGGAATATAGCCTGTGCAAATGCATACCTGAGATAAATAAACAATGATTCTTTCATTTTGCAAATACTAACTACTTTCACAAAGTATAAATGGGAATACAACATGCATTCTTTTATAGATTAAAAAGGTTGTGCATCCTATTAATTCTTCTAATTTGACAGCCTATCGTATCCACTAAATGAACAGAATACAACGATTAAATAACTACTTTCTGTAGCTGCACTGACTGGTGTCAATGCCCTGACAGATATTTATTTCCATTTGTTTCATGTGTGATATAGTCTGGAAATTCCCAACATTTGATGTTGAAACGAGTCTTTGTTCTAAAATCAATGTTAGATGTGGGTGGAAGCATCAACAAGTTCCTATGACGGCTTGTTTATTTGGAAGGGTGTGCAGTTTCTGAATCATTCACTTCCACCAATCTGATGTACTGTTTGTGTCTCACAGTAGACAAGACACATAGTCCTTTAGATTATGTGTCCTGTCTGCCATTGAAAATTATGCGAGAAGATACTGATTGATGGTGGCTGGGTCACATTTTCATCAATCCTTTAAATTTATGAGCAGGATGCATGAATTACTTTTGATATCTTGCGAAAATCTCTTACCTCTAAGCTTTCCAGGAGATAATGGTTTTGGCATTTAAGGAGTTAAAAGAAGGGACTTTCAAACAGCCTGCAATTATTCACTGTATTAGACTAACTAACAACCCCTGCCAAGACACAGGATGACTTCAAACTCAGTTGGAAAAAAAGCTGTGTTTGACACTTAGCAATAGAATTTTCAATTTCAGTTTTAGCGCAAGCTAAAATAGAAGCCATTCTTACCCTGACTGTCACGTCCAGGACTTTTGTGTTGTTGTTTAAAATCTGCTGATCATTCTGGTACATATTGCAATTAGATTATGAATAAATAGTTATTTTGATCTGGAAACTGCTAAGCTGTAAACCACCATTTTGAAAAAGCATGTGCTCTTAGTGAGAGACTGCACTAAATGCAGTGAACTATAAATAAATATAAATAATAAACTGTAAATAAACTATACTATAAATTGAATAATTATAAATGGGGCATAAATTTTAGGTAAGCTGTTTTACGAGATTATATAAAAACGATAGTTACAATATGGCAGACAACAAGCATCTGCTCATTGAAACAGTTGTTAAGACCAATGAAGGAGAAATGCAGCGAAAAACAACAAAATAAATTTGTGAGTAATGAATAAGACTCTACTGACACATGGCCAGTTGGCACAGGGTTGTGCTCAATCTGTTTCACGTGGCATCAAAGGCATCTTAGCACAACATCCATTTAATACTTCCAAAGTAAATAACAGAATTGAAAATTATTGCATTCAGTTTGCCCTGAAAAATACCATTCCATCCTCATTTTTATGCATGTTTTAACAGTCCCCCACCTTCCCCAGTCCCATACCTCTAAAATAATGAAGAACTCATCTCCGGGCTCTCCCTGCACAACAATTTTCTGTCCATCTTCAAACTGCACTGGTTCCAATGCATCAGCCACAGTCAAACGTTCCCATTTATCCAGCGATTCTGCAAAACAGAGCTTTATAATCTGCAACAAGACTTGGTTTGTAATAGTTCCTCTGAAAGAAAAGCGGCTCACCCAAATTATTCAAAAGGCAGAAGTGGCATGAAAACAGCTTTAACTTTTTTTTACAGCTTTGCATGTTAATAGTTATGGATTCTGTATTGGCCCTCACGTTTGGTTAAGCATAGAATACAACACAAAAAAAGTTGACTGGTCTGCAGAAGAGCAGGTGTTGGTTTATTAGAGTGCTATTGTTTGAGATTGTCGAGCACTAAAATGACAATATCACAAGCAATTATGTAGAAAGCGAAATAGCAGTAAAAGAAAATGTGAAGCTATAATTTGGCCAGCCATTGGAATTCTCTTGAATATTTAAGCAGCTGTTAGAATTCTCACCAAAATGTATTAGTTATATCTTCTTTATAGACCACACACATACACAATGGACCAGCTTTACAGGTTTCAATGAAATGAGTTAATATCCTGCAACGGTATACTTGACTAATATCAGTTATCTGTGCGTAAAGGAGGAAAATTACTCACCTAAAATGGAGACCTTGCTCAGAAACTCTTCATACATCTTCCTTTTTCTCAGTGTACTTCCCTGGAAGGTGAAATATTTTAATGTAGGTGCCGGACAATATATGGACCAATCTTGTAAATTGGGATAAAATATGTATTTCTTAATTGGATGATGCCAATGCCTTTAACGATGCATTCTTTGCATTTCGTAAAAAGTTACAAATTTATAGCAAAAGATTATGGTTTGGTACATCACGAGTTGTAAATCCAATACAAAAATCTGCATTTTTTGCAACATCTTACACATGGAAACAAGTCAACAGTGTGAACCAAGGCAAACTACGCAAATACGGACGTGTTGATGCTTGCAAAGTTACAATCTCATATGGTTCAACCTGAATTGGGTTTGTCAACCAATTACTAGCCACACATTGCTTTACATCAGAGATGCAGTTTTTCAACTGTGTAGCCTGCACAAGGTCAGAGACAGGGAGAACATAGGAATAGGCCATTCAGCCCCTCAAGCCTGTTTCGCTATTCTATAAGATCTGTGTCTATAAATATTTTATTTTATAGCCATGTCAAAACGCTTGATTTTAAATCTATAGTTCAATCTCATTTTACTCAATCAAAGTTGATTACAGCAACACATTATATTTTAAAAAATCCATCATGGTGCTGTGTCGCTTTAGTAACATTTCAGTGAGTGAATAGGTTTTAAAAAGCTTTTTAATAAAAGAAATAGAAATTTGCATGGACCCTATTTCTACAGCAGATATCTTACCATTAAAATTCTCCTGTAACTGTCTCTGTCAATACCCCACAACTTTACATTGGTCTTTGCCCTGACAGTTGCTGCTCGCGGGGTTCCATAAATGAGAGCAAGTTCTCCAAAACTACCACCCTCTCCAATGCTGGTCACCCACTCATTGTTCACGTACACCTGAGCAAAACAAAAGCATTCAGTAAAAAAAAACGTAAAGACATATCTTTAAACAGTCATTATTTCAATGCCATATAAATGCTGTATTACAAGACAACATACACAGGATCAAAGAAGAGCAACTCAAATCGATTAATGAAGGACACCCAACCTCAATTGATTAGTGTAAGAAGGCAATAGGCGAAAACAAAATGTACAAAGTGAGACCAAAAAGTATTCCAATTAGATAGAGATAAATATTTGCATAGCAGCATTTTTCAATCCAGGGATTAGGATGGGTTAACTGCTCTGGTAATATATGTTAAACAGGGAGAAACCGGAGTTCAGAGGGGGTGAATGAAAGCCTGACCCCTGGAAAGAACAGTCACAACAAGTAAATATTCAAACACCAGTAAATATTCCCCTGGTGAAGTAGTTGTGGATCATCTCATGTCCAAAACTGAATGTAGGATATAAATCACATGTATTTGTTTTGAATTGAGGATTCTTTGCTGTAGTAAACGATTGATTTGTAATGCATAGAAAATAATTCTCTATATGGAGTAGGGGTATCGGGAACAAAAAATACTCTATTTAGAATTTATTTCTCCTTTGAATTAGCCTTCTCATCTATAGTTAAATGGAGGGGAAAAAAGTTATTATAAATCTGCATCTGCAGGGAAGAAATCTAATTCCATAAATGGAGCCATTACATGGTTTAACAACATAGAAATTAAGTATATTAAAAAGCTACCTCATTTTAAAATCACGCATTGCTAAACAAATAACATCCTTATCCACATTATATTGCACTGGTTGCATTTAATAGGCTACTTACATCCATCTCTCCTTGATCAATAACATAGAAATTATCTCCCTCGTCACCTATAAAAATCAGAAAAGAATGCGTCACAATTGCAGCTCTCTGCCATAAACAAAATGCATCCAGAGAGAGGGAATTACAGTGATGCGGTTTCTCTTACATGATAATCATTCCATAAAGGTTCTAGCTCACTCTACACCTTTCATTCATATTTTATTAAGCTTAACAATATAAAACGAAAACGCGTAAGTGTCTGCAACACATTGTCACTCTTCCATACAACAGTTTAAAATACTAGAGCCTTATGTCCCCATTGCTGTGATATTAGCATCGTGTTTGCTGGGTAACAGAATTGCATTATTTTCATTAAAAAAGTTTGCCTCATTTTAGTTTCTATTCTAGTTGAGGATTATGGAAGAATCAAGAGGCTATGTAAAAGACACATTTGTTTGGTTGATTTACACCAGATTTTACAATACTCATAAAACCGCCAGCATATCCATTGTCACAGGTTTTCCGAGAATATTAATCCTTAGTGTTCAACACAAAATATTACATACAAAGATTAAATCCTTACAGTTTGTGCAATTCTCAATATGTTGACTATCTATCATATCTATTCCAGTTTTAGAAACTCATGAAGGAGAAGTACCAAAAAAGGAACCACATTGTTAAACTCCAGCAGCATTTAGGACTAGTTTATCTTTGGTGCTCATACAATACAAAATTACATTTGTATAGCACCTTCCACGTCAGGAGGACGTCCCAAGACGCTGGATACACAAATAAGTCAAAATTACCTTGCTGTATGACAGTTTCTCCGGCAATGTACATGACAGGGAACATAGCATCAAAAATATCACTGCAAGAAAAAAGTCAAAATCAAGTTTCTTAAAATTCAGAAATTTGTCCGGAATAGATTTGCAAATCAAAACCCCAAAGAAAAAAGTACCTCAAAGAAAGAGAATCTGACAATCTCAATTAGTCTTACCGAGCTAAGAAAATGATAATTTTATATTGGTACAATACAGTGTGTTTTCAGTGATTAGATGTCAAAATTCCTCAAGTTCAAAATTGCTCACCTCCGTTCATTGTCATCCAAATGTGAGAACAAAACGTTCTTTTCAATAGCTTTAGCCAGGGCAGCCATAGTCTTGTAATCCTTAGGAATCACCTATGCAATTAAAAATAAATTAATATTTCTTAAACAGGCAGGGAATGCACCAGCTTGGCCAAACAATTTCTCTCATTAACAATGTAAAACTTTCTTAGCACTTATTTGGGGTCAAGAGAAGAACTGTGACAGTATGAGATTTCAGCCTTAAGATTCAATTACAGATGCTTCTTTATCAAGACTCGTCACCTAATTTACTTAAGAGTTTACGTGGCAGCCATTTAAACCTGCTGCCAAACTCTTGACAGGAATTCATTTGGCGAACACATCTACGTTTACAAAATGTTCTTCGAAAGTTGCACCTTTTCTTCACTAGCTAACTTGAGAGCGGTTTGAATCCAATAAATCCTCAACCATTTCAGCTGATGTTGCACTTTGAGCAACTGCCTGTTAGCATTCATTTCTGCACATAGGAAACAGTGACCTTCATGCTTTGGTAGATCCATTACATCTTGTTTAGTATGTGGATAGAAGACTACATCTGTTAATGCCAATGATTTGTATCTTGACTTTCACTTATCCAGAAATCAGTTCTAAAGTTTGCACAAGTCATCCGGTGAAAGGAAATATATCCCAACTATATACAAAGCCATAGTTTTCAATGAAATCAAATTTCAATTTCAACAAAGTCGGCATCTTAATTACAAGATGTAAACAGATTTAGCAGATGGATAGCATAAAAGTGCAAGGCTGATTTTAATATAGACAAATGCAAGGTAGTGTATATACGAACAAGAAGCAGTAAACAACTCCTCCAAGCCCATATGCCTCAGGGTTTTTTGGGAGGATAGGAGCAGTGGCAAAACATACACCATTACGTAGATAGGCTGATTAATTTCTATGACCGTCACAAAACGTATTGAGTTCAAGAGTCCTTTGCTAGCTCCTGTGCCAGATCACTTATTTAGACGTGTATTGCCTTGCCCTTGGCTCCATTTTACAATCTTAAATTAAAATATTGTGCACATTGACACTTTTGAGTTCAATCATTTGACTATAATGACCAGCGGGAGCACAAATCAACTGGCAAAGGGCCAGAGCAAATCTGTCTAATACCCTCAAGACATGCTTGGCTGCAGCACCCCCTTGACTAATTTGTTCTCAAAAGATATTATAATAAATGAGAAATGGGGTGGGGGGGAGGGAGAAGAAAACAGTATAAAGGAGGGGCTTTAGTACCTTCCGCACATAAGATGCTGCATCTTCCTCTGTATATACTTCAGCGCTGATTGCCCCACGCCGTCGCCGTCCTTTCACTACGGGGTTCATGGGAGGAGGTGGAGAGATTTCATCCTCCCGTGAGTCAGAGCGTGAACCTGATTTTTGCTGACTGTGCATCTGTTTGGCCTCTTCCTGTTTTGAGGAAAATAGTCAGTCCAGCTTAATCATCACTGAATACCCAGTGGAGACGTGAAAACATTAGGCACATTGTTTGTGTTCAATCAATCCTTCTGCATACAGAAATGCTCTGGTGCAATTGTCCTGAACTCAGAACAGCCCAGCATTACCATTACCAATAGGTAGAAAACATTTCACAAAATCCACTTTACAATATATTCTGTGAAGCGCTTTGAGACGTGTCAACAGTGCAATAAGACGCTATATCAAATACAAGGATTAAAAATGAATTATGCCTACTCTTGGGAAAATTTAACAGCATAACAACATGTCCTTTCAAGTCAATCTAGAGAACCGTCAAGAGCCACTTTTGAGCTCGGTGTTAGCATGATGTTAGACTTCATTACTTGAAAAAGGCCTTTGTTGATTATCAGTTTCAAAAGCCACATTAAAATCTGCTGATTTCACATCAACTGTCACGCGACTCGAACCTCTTTCACTAACTTTCTTCCTATTTACTGTACTTTCCATAACAGTCCATCATATTTTGCTCTAATTGAGATAAATGTCTATAAAACAAAGCTAGTGGGTAGTTCACTCTACAATTTTCAATATGAAAGGCTGAAAAGTCTAACTCTGTGTTATTAAAATACAAATAGGATAGCCATCAGCACATTGTTCTGCAATAAAAATAAAATAGTCCTTGTATTTGATATAGCAATAATACTGAACCATGAAAATACAAATATGATAGCTATCAATACCTTGTTCTGTAATAACAATAAAAAAAAATCTTGCATTTGATAAGGTGCTGATGACATCAAAATGTCAGCAAATTTCATAATGGTAAACTGGATAATCAAGAGGGGAGACAGTTATAATAATCATAATCCTTGCATTTGATATAGTGCCTTATCACGTCTTCGAAACGTTTCAAAGCACTTCATAGAATATACTGTAAAGTGAACGGACTGTATATTTTGGGGGGCAGCAGCTATCACAAGAGTACCCTACTTTGTAGTCAGCCCTGTTTGAATCCAGATCCACAAAATGCCATGTCTATAATGAAGCTGGTATGAAGTAATGAAATATATAATTATTCTTCTATTACATGGCATGAACTGGAACTCAAGTCACTAAGTGGCTTAACTCAATGAGTGCGAATGTTAATTCCGTTATCTACAATTTCAAATTGCATTTCATGGTCGGCCCAGTGTGCAGTTATAAAATTTGTCTGCTCCTGAATGGTTTCTTAATTCTCCATTTTGCCATCTCTGCTTGCAAATAAACAAAGTTACAAGACTGCAAACATACAGCCACATTGCACACATCTACAGGAAGTGATGTGGTTTGGTGTTAATCTATTCGTCAGTTCAAAAAAGTATGACAAACCTCCTGCAACTAACTAAACATATGCAGCTTTCAACATTTCCTTTTCGAGATCTGCACAATACAAGACAGCTATGTCTCTGCTTGAGTGAAACACCATAAGCTATGAAAACCATTTCCTTTCCATTCTGAATCAGAAAAATACAAATGTAACTTTTTTTGGGGGGTGAGGGGGAAACAGAAAAATGTTCTGTTGGAACTTCCTGTCTATCACAGGAAATTATGCAGTATTACAGCTTTGACCATGATCAATAATTAGCAAGCAATTTCTGACAATCTGCTACTTCTACACTCCCATCACAAATTGGAAAAATTGTGTTGAACAATGAAAATTTTACTTGCAAAATTCAGGATCGGGAAATACGGTTGTCTTTAGTCCATAATACTGAAATCATACTCACATTTAATAAAAAAACTAAATGCTGTTCGGTCAAAATATTGCAAACAGGATTCAAATTGTTTTTTAAAATTATTTCCCAATAATTGGGGAACATTCCAAGAATATTTTTGATGGAATTCTAGATTTGCTGCAAAACCTCCACAAATTAAGGATTCCATCAATTATGGGAGAAACTAACAATCCAAGGGCTTCAATGTTTTTTCATGTTACACCATAACTAACTGTTTTAAATAGAAAGTTTACATCATTAAACCAAAACAAGCAGCAAGGAGGAGAGAAAGCCACTTTCTACTTCACAAGAGCTGAAATCGCAAAGTATTCACTCAGAAATGTGACAATTATACAACAAAAAAAACAGCCAAAAGGAAGTCAATATTGTGTGCACTGGCATCAGATAGCAAAACATTGGCAAGCACAAGCTCCTGTTGTGGAGAGTCTCTTGAGTTCAGGAAGCACACAACTGTATTTACAATTCATCATTTCAATCTTTAGGACATCAATCTTTATCAAGATGTGCCAGACCATCCATTCCTCTTTAAAGTTCCAGAATACCAACCCTGGAGTCCACGTCCTCCTGCTTACATTTCCAAGGGTCAAATAACTGACATAGTTCTTTTGAGCTAAAGGAAAGTCTCTGCAGGGAATTTGGAACACTGGAATGCATTCATACCCAGCTGAAAGTTTTCCATCTCCAGATCCTGCAGATGCCACTACCCTTTGCCACAATCTTTTGCATTGGCTAACTCCAAAGTCATTGTTTGTCAGTCAGCCGCTTGGCCTAATCTACAATAAGCAACTTTTCTGTATCAAACTATAGGGCACTTCACAGGATAAGCTCCTCGTCTTTTACAGTGACTTTCTTAAGAATTTAGATCATGACCTCACTGAATGATACAGTAAAATCTCTCAAATTACCCTACCAGATACATTTGAAAATAAAAAATATGCACACCTAGTCTTTTTGTTAAAAATGTTTTGAAGCTACAGTAAACATGTAGGCAAAGTTATTTTAGAATGTTTAATTGGTCCTTGTCCATTCTATAGTAAGAGGTGTGTGTCCTCAGATCCTCAAGACTATATAAGAGCACAAGATGACTAAAAACAAGAAAAGGCAATTCAGCCATTCTCATTCCATTTGACAGTCAATACGCTGGGTTACAGTTCCAGACAAACATTTACTAACTCAGCTTCACTCTGACCTAGTTAATATCCTTCCACTCCCTGTCCAATCAAGCTGGCATAATGCCCTTCTATAACACGAATGTTTATACCAATTTGCAGACTAGATGAATTTAGTACAAAATTCAGTGGACGGAGCAGTCAAAATGAACAACATTTCAGCTATTTCAGGTACACAAAGAAGGGATTCTGAGACCGTATTAGTTGTGCAGTTGCTCGGATTTAACAGCTGGAGCTGTAGAAGGCCCCTAAAATGAATGTGGGCCACAACACACATTGAAAGTAGTCCATTTGCCAGTGGGACTCCGTTCTCTCCTCAAGCTGCCAAGTAGATTTAAAGAGCTGCGGGTGGCTGAAGTGGACCATGCACATTGAGCATTCCACTCCTATCCAACATCTATAAAGTGTCACGATTGACATGGTACAAAGGAACAAGAGAACCACCAACCACAAGTCAGTATAACCCTCCTTGTGCAAGTAATTCAGCATTCACTACAATGTTAGATCTCAGTGTAAACAAATCTGCTTTAGGTGACTATTTGTTTAGCTACTTTGGTTTTTCTTCTCTCCTCAAAAAATCTTCCCCAGTACTGCTTTTCAGACATTTAAATTGTCTTCCAGTTCAGTTAAGAAAAGATATCCTGCAGCTCCTCGCCTCAAGTCTTTGAATTAAATTGTGTGCAAGAATATAGTTTTCAAAAGATCCATGTCTTTTTGAAGATATGATCACCAAAACTCAAAAGTGCTTTGCTAATGCTTACCAGTACCAGTTCACTGGATTTGTATTCAATTATGTTAGTTATACATCCCCAGAATTTACTTTTGGTGATTGGGGGGGAGGGGGGGTTCAATAATTCAATGATTATACCATCTTATTTTACTCTTAACTTTCGTTGGGATGATAGTCTGTTATCACAATGACTATTTTACACATCCATATGTATTAATTCTAGAATTTAACCGGCAAATAGGTGGGATTAAATGGATTGTTATCTCAAAAAAAACAGCCTACATGTTCAGCTGAATGGCCTGTGCGTAAGGTTTCACGGTTCTAAAAGTACGTTTTTTTGTTGCTAGCAATTACCATCATTAAGACATGATCAACTACACTCCCACATTTTCATTGATATATTCAGCAGAGATAGGCTGAAAATTTTTTTAGGTAGTGATCAACCTCGTAGAACTGCTTTCTTGATAAACAGTTAGGCAACATTTTGTTTTGGAAACCAATCACACAACCATACTGGTTGTACATAGAGATTACACTGCACCATTCTCCAGGCAAGATGTATGCATTCAGGAGGTAACGAAAGATTCAGTGATTGTGTTGCTTAATAGGAGAAATGTACATCAGCAACTACAGAATTAGAGTTAAATTACCCATTTTATATTTCTGGCTAGGTCAATTTCTTTACTACTTTACTATAACATCAGTAACACATGCAGCTCTTGAACATGTCGTAAGTGTCTTTATCAGAAAAGGGTAAAAAGATTACTTCGCTGCAGTTTTTTAAAGGATTTGTTATTGTAACTTTTTTTGCAGATGATTTTTTTCTTACAATACATTCACGTGAGAGGAAGAAGAAAAGAAAAATCACAATAACTTGTGACATCTCACATGTTTATTTACAACTCTACCTCTATCCTTCTGTCCAGGGACTGTGATAGCATAAAATAAAAAAAAGGAGTTTGAACAAAACAATACTATCTGAAATACTGGATTCAAACTGAATCATTCAAAAATAACATTGGATTATAATGGTGAACCATGTAGTGTCTTCACCTGTAGAAAAACTAGTTTCATAGTATATCTGGTGAGCTCACTGAATATTTAAGATTAGATGGACAGATATTCAAAAAGTAAAACGTTCATATGAAATGTTGGGCCATTTTATATTTTATTGCTGTGGATAATACTGTACCAACAACAACACAACAAGATTTCATTTATAGAGCGCCTTTCACGTCGGGAGGACGTCCCAAGTTGGGTCGGGACCCGAGCATTGGGGGGGAAATGGTCAGGGTGAGGGGAGGGAAGGGAGGGAGCGAGGAGGGGGGAAATGGTCAGGGTGAGGGGAGGGAAGGGAGGGAGCGAGTAGGGGGGAAATGGTCAGGGTGAGGGGAGGGAAGGGAAGGAGCGAGGAAGGGGTAGGCAGTCGAGAGGGGAGCTAAAGGCACGGTCGAAGAGAATGATTACCAATGATTAATTTCCTTGATAGTGGATTTAACAAATCACCCACAAAGTGGATTATAAAAATCCATGGAGAAAGTTGCACAAAAAATCAAATTCTCATTACTTTGCCCCACAATAAAACATATTACTTAGTATAACAAACACGATATTCAGGGCTATATGGATTTTGGTCACTCAATCCCCACTAATATTTTAAAACAATTATCATCAGTGAACTGGAATGTTCATATTATTACTCTTTGCCGAGAGATGTGAATATCACACTTTCATGTGAAGCTTCCAATTTAAGTAAAAGAGATTAGAGAAACTGTACAGTATTTCCACAAAGTTTAGGCTGTGACTACAAGACTGATTCACTGCTTTAGTTGGGATGTGTAGGCTTCTAAAATGACCAGTTTTAACAATGATTCTACTTTCCAATTTTCTTTAATCCAAGAAGGAAGCCAAAACCTGAAGTGTTTAAACTATCTAAATGGGAAACTAAGCTCACTATTCAAATGTAATCATAAACCACAATAATCAGTTTAAATGTATGAGATCAACAGAAGGATTATTCACGGCCTCTTTGCCATGACCAAAATAAACAACCGAGTGCGGAAAAGAGAAAGAGGGCGACAGAAAGAGGAAGATGATTTGCACAATATCTGTACTACAGTACTTTAATTGAACTCAAATCACAAACGACAAGAGGCGCTGTAATAGTACTGTACTTGGGAATCTAAAAAAAAATTAGTCCTGACGTTCAAAGACTGGTTCTTCGCACCCAGGACAATGTTCCAATTAATAATAATCCTCGCATTTGATATAGCGCTTTTTACGCCGGGAGGACGTCCCAAAGCGCTTCGCAGAACACACTGCAAAGTGAACTGACTGTATATTGATTTCAGAAGCCAACCAGTGGCCGATGTGACACGCCGTGACCATTCGGCTCTTTCCACAAGGGCAGTGGGGATTTCTCCCGAGTGTCAGCGCTCGGTGCGATCGCTGTTTAATTGTGCACCGATCTTTTAAGTTTTATAACGTTGCAGCTATGTTAACCTTTGGTGGTGGGGAGGGGGGGAGAGAGAGAGAGAGGTTGTCAGGCTCTCGCTTGCTCGAGTTTCCTTTCACAAGAGGCCAGGCCTAGCAGTTTTCGCGAACGATCACCACCAGAAGAGAAAGACAGACCATTTTGGTTTGTGTGTGTTTTTTTTGGAGGGGGGTGTGGGGGGGGTGTGGGGGCTCATTTAACAAGTGGTTGGGTTCTCTCTCGCGCTCTGTTCTTCTTCTTTTTTTGACGCTAGTCTGTTATCGTTGCATTTCCCCCTCCCCTCGGTGATCGAGAAACGGTGTCGCAGCTCGAAAGCGGAGGCACCGAGTTCAAAACGGGCACAAACAAGACCAGAACCTTTCATTTCCAAACCCCCCTTTTTTTTCTTTTCTCGCCCCCCACCACCGCTTGTTGAAACCCCAAACACACACGATGTTAAGTCACCAAACCAACCACAAACACCCCCTTTGCCCCCCCCCCAACAACATACAAAAAAAAACGACCGAGCGTTCAATGTCTGCGGCTTATTATAATAATAAACAAACAATAATAATAATAATAATAATCCCCGCATTCGATACAGCGCCTCATCACGTCTTTCGAGACGTCTCGGGTGAGCTGTGTATTGCTCTCACTCTCCCCCACTCCTCCTCAATAAACTCGACATAAACAAGGACGGCCCCATTTAAAACCCAACCCCCCACCACCACCACCACCACCATAATCACTCGGGATCACCTTCACTCACTTTCTCGAGTTTCTCGAAGTACTCCCTGAGGTAGGTGATGGGCTTGTCGGGCCTGCCGATGCACAGCTGCACGATGCAGTCCTTGAGGATCTGCTGGATGTTGTGCTTGTGGACATACTGCTCGCACTCTCTCAGGCTGCGCTCTTCTTCCCCCCCGCCGCCGCCGCTGCTGCTCCCCGCGGCCGCCATCTTAACAAGAATCCCGAACCACCGCTCACCAGTTCGCTCTCTCTCTCCTCTCTCTCTTCCCCTCTTCGCCCAACCCCACCCGCCCCCCTCCCTACCGAAAAAAAAACAACACACACACACACACTACGCCGCCGCCGCGATAAACACCCGAGAGAGAGAGAGAGAAGGGGTGAAGGGAAACACGGCGACACTTGTTATGGCCTCAGGTTGTGTGTGGGGTGGTGGTGGTGGGGGGGGGGCGGGGGAAGGGGGGGGGGAAAGCTCCTCGTCTTCTCAGGCGGCTGCGCTCGAGCTCAACGGCTCCGAGTCACCGTCACCCCGCACCGGAAGCCGCCGCCGCGTGACGTCAATCCGCCTCGCTCTGGCCCGCCCCCAGCAGCAGCAGCAGCAGCAACAGAGGGGGAGGGGCGACCGTGCACAGTGCAATCCACTCACTCGATGTACACAGTGCAATCCACTCACTCACTGCGTGTACACAATTGCAATCTCCTCACCCACTGCATGTACATCGTGCAATCCACTCACTCACTGCGTGTACACAATGCAATCCACTCACTCACTGCATGTACACAATGCAATCCACTCACTCACTGCATGTACATAGTGCAATCCACTCACTCACTGCATGTACACAGTGCAATCACTCACTCTCTGTACACAATGCATTCCACTCACTCTCTGCATGTACACAATGCAATCCACTCACTCACTGCATGTACACAATGCAATCCATTCATTCACTCACCTCATATACACAGTGCAATCCACTCACTCACTGCATGTACACAGTGCAATCCACTCACTCACTGCACGTACACAATGCATTCCACTCACTCTCTGCATGTACACAATGCAATCCACTCACTCACTGCATGTACATAGTGCAATCCACTCACTCACTGCATGTACACCGTGCAATCCACTCACTGCATGTACACAATGCAATCCATTCATTCACTCACCTCATATATACACAGTGCAATCCACTCACTCACTCACTGCATGTACACAGTGCAATCACTCACTCACTCTCTGCATGTACACAATGCATTCCACTCACTCTCTGCATGTACACAATGCAATCCACTCACTCACTGCATGTACATAGTGCAATCCACTCACTCTCTGCATGCAGACAGTGCAATCCACTCACTCACTCTCTGCATGCAGACAGTGCAATCCACTCACTCACTCACTGGACAGTGCAATCCACAAAGGCAATCCACCCATGCCTTGTATGTACACGGTGGAATGGAGTGGTAACATAAAAAAAGAATATGTGGAGTGGAATCCATTCATTGCAGGTACACTGTGCGAGATACACAGGAAGGTCATACACTGCATGTACGCCGTGCAATCCACACATTGCTTGTCCATTGTAATCCACGCACCCCATGTATCGCCCATAAAATATAGTCAATTCACTTTACAGTATATTCTGCAAAGCGCTTTGAGACATCTCAAAAACGTCAGAAGGTGCTATATCAAATGCAAGGATTATTATTATTATTATGTACACACCACAATCCACACGCTGTAACTACAGTGTAAGATACACTGGGAGGTCATGCACTGCTTGTACACACTGCAATCAATGCACTGTATGTACACTTTACAAGATACTCTCTGCATGTACTCAGTGCAAAACACATACTGCATGTACACAGTCATACACAGCCAGGCCACACACTGCTTGTAAACAGTGGAATCCACACGCCGCATGTACACAGTGGAATCAAGCACTGGATGTACTCAGTGCAATACACACAGATACGTCACACAATGCATCTACAAATGCAATATAAACAAGACAATACACAGTGGGACAATATACATACTGTATAACACAGTGCAATATACATACGGAGGAGGTGAGGCCATATGTATATGTAAAAACATTCATTTCTCATAATGTATTTACTTTATTATAACACTGAACTGAAGGGAAGAACAAACATCTGAGGTTCAAAAACACATCAAATGAGAAGCACAACAGACATGCATCTCAGAAATTGTGAAAAATACAGTTTGAAGAAAATAATAAAGCAAGGTCACTTGATTAATAAAGTGTGAGAGTCTATTTTTCTTTATTTTTAAAACAAAAGAACAAACATCTTATTTTATTAAGTAGAGTAAGAGTTTACTCAACCACAAAGGTTAAATAATATTGCTGTTACACTTGTTTATTTACTAAAGTGAAGGTTCAGTACACACAAATGGGAAGAGGGTACAATATAGAAAATATAACATGGCAACTGAGAAATGTATATGTTAATGGCACATTCCAACAAGAATCTGATTTCCCTGTTCATAACACAAGATAGGTAAACAGCTCTGAAGTGTTATTTTTTTATCTGATATTTTGGTCCTAGCCATTAATTTTTTTAAGAGTGTCCCTGAAATTCCATAATTGTCCATTAATTAAAATAACCACTGTAGATCCATAAGGTCAAAAATGCTTTTCCACATAGTTGATTGCGATCTCTCTTCAAAATTGTCCAATTGTGAATTACAGGGTTTATTTGAGCTTCGACTTCCCAACGTGAGATAAAGCAAATTGAACCAATTCCTCTCTTCCATGTTGTTCATCTTTTGGAACAATGAGGTTTCCATCAGTTGACATTTCTCCATCCTTCCAATATGTTTGTCCATCATATTGTAGACAATGGATACAACATTGGTGATACCTTATTGGTTCTCCAACATATTGAATCCAGCCTACTGACAATTGTCAAGCATTCCTCCTTCAACATCGCCTTGCCCTCCTCAATACACGGTCACCTAATAGAGATGTTATTTCTGGGCTTTTTTCAGTGCTCCCATGGTGGTGATTCACTCATTTGTGGAGTTATTAGTTACTGCATATTTGCTGGTGCTGTAGTAATGCATTGATATTCGGCTCCTCGAGTGATGTGTCGTGCAATGGTACTCTGTTTTCCACAGTCCAGGTTCTTCTGTGGAGAGGAGAGGTATATACACTCACATAGTATTGTGTCTATGTAGCTACTGTAAAGAAGAACCATTTGTCCATAAAACAAGTAATCATGGTTTCAAACCACTGCTGTAGGATACATTTCATTATCAATTAAGGTGAGGTGCTCAACATGATGTAGAGGGAAGTCACTTACCAGATTTATCCCTTGTGATATGCATACGCTCAGAATGAAAATGTTCCGCCAAAGCTTGTTCACATTCAGCAAGACTTTTTTTTCATCTTCTTTGTTGCCCGAAAGTTGAAGACAAATTTATGTTTGCTGGACTCCTTGACATTGTGGAACTGATTCCTCATCTCCTCACGGATTCTGTGGGTAATGGACATGGCATTCACCTAACTGGTTACCTCTTCTCAGACTTGTTTTTTGTGTGTGTGTATCCCTGTGCTGCAAATGATGAAAGCTCTTTGACAATGAAGGAATGCTTTAATGACTGTGAAACAGGACTTCATTGACAGTTTATGAGCCATAGTTTTTGACATTCCAAGCAAAATGTCTGGGCTAGCAAAGAGCCAATTTATTATCTGCAGTCAAGAGGGTTGTTTCTTGCTTCCTGGAGTGCTGAACTGTAGCTATCACTGTTTTGCACTACTTACATGACTTAATGCCCCAAGTATTATAACACAAGAAAGTATGGAATGAGAAAATGATTTTCAATCATCAAACCCTGACAGAACTTACCCTACGGTGGAGTTTTCACCTTACCCACTCTGTTTCCTAGAAGAAACCTCTTCATAGAAGCTCTGTATGAATTTCAAAGTCAATCAACCCAAAACAGTACAATATTCTTCTGTCGCTAAATTTTCATTATTTCAATCCTTTATGGGTACTCTTTCTTTTTCCTCCCTCTCAACAACAATTTATATTTATATTACGCCTTTCACATAAGGAGGACATCTCAAAGCACTTCAAAGAACTTCCCACACACAAGTAAGACTCTTTGAACTTTAACAAGAAACAGAGAAAGAGGACTTTATTCAATCCAAATTCACTAGCTCATAGATTTACTGGTCATTCATCTCATTGCTGTTCTTGGGATTTTGTTGATGGGAGATTAGCAGCCACTATATTACAAATACAGTAAGTAACTTACTTGTATGAAGTTATGTAGAGATATATACATAGAGTAAAACAGCACAGAAACATGCAATTGGGCCCAACTAGTTTGTGGCAGTAATCTGTGTGAGGTGTTTTTAATTTAAGGCACTGCAGTATATGATGTGCAAAGAATAACTTTTAATATTATCAATCATTTGGGGCTGAATTTGACCTTTGTCTCAAAAGTGAACAGACAAAGTCATATGTGCCATCATATAGCTGTTTATGATTCATAGAATGTTTCATTGCAGAAGAAAGCTTTCTGCAAAAAACTATCTGTTGAATCACAATAACTTGATTTATATAGCATTTTTCACATAACAAACATCTTAAAGAGCTTTACAAATAAAGTTGATTAAAAATGAAGTGAAGGTTGTTTTATAGGCAATCTGCAACAGCATCATCTGATAAACATCATTGAGATGAGCAGCCATTTATTTGAATTTGGGTGTAATTTAGTTACATTCCCCTGGACTTTCCCCATATCATTTTATATATTTTTTTTCTTTTCAAATGTTTCAAACTATTATCACATCAACAATTTTGAATCAATGGCTAGCGTAAATAACGAAACAAATACCGAAACAATTGTCATTTGGATAACAAAATTTGTAAATAATAACACGTAACAATAACCAGTCTCAGCTTTCCTTGATGACTCAGTTGTTAAATAAAACCCTCTAGGCATACAGAACAGTAGATTTCGCGTTTAGATCCCGCTTTGTGCTTTGTTATCTCATCAAAAGAGCAGCCAGCAGTTAGAAGCTATAACTGGCCTTGGTGCCCCAGGGCTCAGGAGAGGAAAAATCAACCAAGGGTTCAGGTTCCCAATTGTTACCCAATGTCACCCCCTCGCCATATACAAAGTGAAGACTAGCCACTTGGGTAAAATGAGACTAAGAGAATAAACCTACAAATCCATGGGAGGGATGGACTGGTGGAATAAAGGAGGGGGGAAGGTATTTTATTCTATGCGGTTGACTTTAATTCTTTACGCTATTCACCCAGTCTATTCACCCTTCCCCAATATTTTGAATATTTTGAAGACCCAGTCTATTCACCCTTCCCCAATATTTTGAAGACCATTAAAGACTTCCAGGCGACAAAACCTTACATCAAGTCGGATGGAGGGCATGTCGCCTGCCCCAGAAGTTAAAAACAAATTTGTGCCCTGCCCCGGAAATTAAAAAAAAGATATTAGATTAGTTAATCGTTATCTTCAAGTGCATGGCAATAACTAACATTTGTTTCCGTCTACTCCTTTGCACGGACGAAAACAAATTGTAGTATTGCCATGTGAATTGAAGATAACCATTAACTAATCTAATACACTAATCTAGATAATAATAATCCTTGCATTTGATATAGCGCTTTTCACGTCGGGAGGACGTCCCAAAGCGCTTCACAGAACACACTGTAAAGTGAATTGACTGAATATTTGTGGGCGAACGCGGCAGCCAATTGTGCTCAGCAATGTCCCACAAACAGTCGTAGATTGAAAATGACCAATTTATTATTGTTTTGGAGGGATTATTATTGGGCTGTGTGTGGAGTAAGGAAACTTGCCCAACGTTTCGCCTTGACCTGCCTGGAATTGAACTCGGGTCTCTCGCTTGCAAAGCGAGTGCTCTAACCACTGAGCTACAGGACTCCTACAGGATCCTGCAGATCAGTAAAATTGAGGTTTTCAAGAAAAAAAAGAATATTGTGGATACCACCAACCCAGTAAGCTAGACCGTGAGTATTCAGATTGAATTTGATGGAAAAAAAAAGATTTGTGTACATTCGATCTATTCGGATTATAATAACCTCGCGAAACAATGGGATTGAATGATTTATACGTGCTGTCCTCATTTCCGAAACCCTCAAAGCTCACTAATGGTGACAAGAATGAATATTTTATCATGTTTTACGCCGGATTTGCAGGGGGACCTCTTCCGGTTAAGCAAATGTTGCGTTACCTGGGAATGCTTTATTTTAACTTAGTTGGACGCCGCTTTATTCTTGCATTTCAGGCAAGGACAGGAGTGTTTAATCAACAAGGCAACAGTTCTGTGTGTAACTTTCCCGAAATGCTACAAAACTCCACGAGTAAGAAGTCAATAAAAGCATAATAAAATAAGTACTATTTATTGTGTTTTTTTTGTGTGTGTGGGGGTGGGGTTTCTTTCTGCTTTTGTTTCTTTTTTTGAAAAAAAAATGCACAGGGTGGGGGGGGGGGTTGGGAGAGAGATTTGTGAGCAAACTTTTGATCAAAGAGAGGATGTAAAAACAAAATAACATAAAAAGCGGCGAATTGTGTATAAATATAAATCGTATATAAACGCATATATATAATTATATAAATATATATATGTGCTGGTGTATATATATATATATATATTATTTTTGCCTCCAAAAAAATAACACGAAACGAAAATCCGTACGTTTTGCCAATGAAACAAGTCTTAGCATTTGTGGAGGGGGGGGGGGGGGGGAGTGTGTGTGTGTGTGGTGGGGTGGTGTGTGTGGGGGGGGGGGGTGGTGTGTGGGGGGGTGGTGTGTGTGTGGGGGGGTGGTGTGTGTGTGGGGGGGGTGGGTGTGTGTGGGGGGGTGGGGGGGGGGTGGTGTGTGGGGGGGGGGGTGGTGTGTGTGTGGGGGGGGTGGTGGGGGTGGTGTGTGTGTGGGGGGGTGGTGTGGTGTGGGGGGGTGGGGGGGGGGGGGAGGTGGTGTGTGTGGGGAGGGGGGGGTGTAGGAGGTTTATTGTCCTTTCCAACAAGTTGAGAGCAACTTGAATGAATCTTTGTGGCGTGTGTGTGTGTGTGTGTGTGGAGAGTGGAGTGGGGGGGGGGGGGGTGGTGTGGTGTGTGTGTAGGAGGGGGTGGGGTGGTGGTGGGCGAGTGGGGGGAGGGTATGGAGGGAGGGGGGTTGGGTGAGTGGGGGGGATGTGGAGGGAGGGAGGGAGTGGGTGGGGGCTGTGTGTGTGTGTGGTGGGGGGGGGGGAGGAGATAAATAAAGGTATCCGCGCTTGTGAGCACGTTTTACATCTAATAAATCTTATTTTTTTTTGGACCTCTTCCACCCCCCCCCCCCCCCCACCAGCACCACGCGCACTCTCACTCACTCACTCCCCCTCCTCTCCCCCCCACCACCGTGTTTTTTTTTAACCTGTTTATCCTTTGTCTTCCCCCCATTCCGACTGCTGAATGATTTGACGGCAGAGGGCGGGCGGGCGGGCGGGAGGGAGGACGGGGTGAGGGGGCCGTGCGGGCGGCGCGCCAGGGGTTAACCCGCCCGCCGTCGGCTCCGCTCCTTTCATCTGCCCCATCCCCCTGGCAACCGCTGACCCCGTGCCTGGCAACGGTCACCCCGCTCGCCACGCCATTGGTCGACTCCCCTGGGTCGGGGGGGGAGGGGCCGGGTGACGTCGGGCACGCTCGGGGGCCGGCGTGGAAGGAGGGTGGTGGCCGAGAGCGGACGAACAAGAGCGCGAGGAACCGCTGCGCGCTCGAGCTGGAGAGCCACTCGCACGCGCGCGTACACTCAGTCACTCGCTCGCACACACACACACGGGGAGAGAGAGAGAAGAGGAGGAGGAGGGAAGAGGGAGGAAGGGAGGAGGATGGAGGAGCTGAGCGCTGTGGGTGAGCAAGTTTTCGCCGCGGAATGTATCCTCAGGAAAAGACTGAGGAAGGTGAGAGAACGGAGAAATCGGGGAGTCTTTCGCATTTGCGGGAAAAAAAAGGATGGATGGGGGGGGGGGAGTGTGTGGGGGGGGAGTGTGTGTGGGGAGAGTGTGGGGGGGGGGGTGTGTGTGGTGGGGGGGAGTGTGGTGGGGGGGGGGGAGTGTGTGGGTGGGGGGAGTGTGGTGGGGGGGGGGGGAGGCAAACCTGTGAAGGTTCATTGTTTCTTTTTGTGTGTGTGTGGGGAGTGGGGGGGGGTTAGAAAAAAGAGAAGAGTTTTTTTGGGGGGTTGGTTGGATTGGGGGTGTTTGGGGATGGTGTTGTTGGGGGGGTGGGCGTTGGTTGGGGGGGGTTGTGTTTGGCGAGTGGTGGTGTTGGGGGGGGGTGGTGTTTGGGGGTGTTGGTGTTTGGGGGTGTTGGTGTTTGGGGGTGGTTGGGGGTGTTGGGGGGTGTTGGGTGTTGGGGGGTGTTGGGTGTTGGGGGGTGTTGGGTGTTTGGGGGTGTTGGTGTTTGGGGGTGGTTGGGGGGTGTTGGGGGGTGTTGGGGGGGGGGTGTTGGTGTTTGGGGGTGGTTGGGGGGGGGGGTGTTGGGTGTTGGTATTTGGGGGGTGTTGGGTGTTGGGGGGGTGTTGGTGTTTGGGGGATGGTTGGGGGGGGGGTGTTGGTGTTGGGGGGGTGTTGGGGGGTGTTGGGTGTTTGGGGGGGTGTTGGTGTTTGGGGGGTGTTGGTGTTTGGGGGGTGGTTGGGGTTGGTGTTTGGGGGGTGTTTGGGGGGGGTGTTGGGCAGGGGGTTTGGTTTTCATGCCTGTGTGTCCTGTGTGTGCGGTTGCAGGGGAAGCTGGAGTACTTGGTGAAGTGGCGAGGGTGGTCTTCCAAGTGAGTGGCATCAGGTTTGAACAATACAACAACAGGAGCAGCGTGCTCCCCAACTCCAGCCGGCTCCGGCTTCAGAGCTTCCCTCCTTTGTTTCTTTCTTTCTTTCCCTTCTTTTCCTTCCTCCCTCCCTCCCTCCCTCCCCATCTCTCTCACGTTTTTCTTTTACTCTTTAGTGCATTTTGTTGCATTTTATTTTTATTGCACACACACACACACACACACATGTCTCTGTTCTATCTATCTATCTATCTATCTATCTATCTATCTATCTATCTATCTATCTATCTATCTATCTATCTATCTATCTATCTTTTTCAACCCACCCCTCCTTCATATTTCTCCCTCTCCCCCCCCCACCCCCACCAACCACCCCCCCCCCCACACCTCTTTTTTTTTTAAAATCGTGTAGATATCTATCTATCTATATATATGTATATATTCAAAAATCTTCCACTTCTTTGTTTTGTTCCACTGCCACTTTTTGCGGTGGGTGGATGGGTTTTTTTTAAAAAAAGAAAAAGAATAAAAAAACACACACACACCACACACAAATCCCCTTTGACTGTTATAGTTTCCAAATGCACCCCCTTTTTGATCTCGATTTGTCGGTGTTTGTCCACATTTTTAATGCACAAATTTTTTTGGGGAGGGGAGGGGGCATTCCCCACCCACCCACCCACCAACCCCCTCCCCATTTACTTAATTGGAGCTAATTTCTATCAATGCTATTTCTCTACACCCCCTCCCCCCCCCCCCCCCCCATCTCCCCCATTCAGTTTCTTGCCTATTGTAATAACTTTCTTTGTACAATTTTACATGGAAACTCTGGCTTAGTCAACCACGACTTCTGTGCAGCTCGTCTTAATTTTTTTTAAAAACAAAGGTACACAGTGCTTTGGAAATACTAATTTATGTTCCCATTTTCGGTTCCCCTCTCTCCCCCCCCCCCCCCCCCCCCAGTTGAGTGCAGTAACTCTTTCATCTCCCCCCTTCCCCACTCCCCCCTTCCCCACACACACACACCCTCCTCATCACCTATCAAAAGATGTAAACGTGCCTCTCAGGTCGTGTGTCTGCAGCTGAAAGGACACTTTTTTTAAAAAAGAAATAATTTGCTGCGGGTGTGTGTGTGTGTGTGTGTAAAAAAAAACATAGGACCATGTGAGCGGAATGTGCCTTCAACTTTTATGTGCTGTGTGTCTCACTGATGTTCCGAGTGAAGCGAACTTTCTTTTCAAAACCCATCATTTTGAGTGCTCACTTTCCACGTTACTGCAGAGCTCCTGTGAACGAAGATCTGTGCAGATCTGCACTGACATCCTGTGAATGACTTTTGGTTGTGAATCTTTTTCTACTGGTTTTTTTTTTTTGGGTGGTGGGGGGGGAGTTTTTTTTAAAAAAACATGATTGCTGCAGATCTGTGTTTCGAATGGCAACTACTTTTTCGACCCCCAAACGTCTCGCTTTTTTTTTTGATGCCTCTAAATTTATTGCTGCAGATCTGTGTTTCGAATGGCAACTACTTTTTCGACCCCAAACCTCTCGCTTTTTTAATATATACATATATATATATATACATTGCACGCACGCGGGCTGCTCAAATCATGAGAATCTTTTGTTTTCTTACCGTTTTCGGATGGACTTTCTTTTGCGACTTTTCCTGCCTCGAGTCCCATTCATTCCGACTTTCATGGAAACAATTTGCAGGGTCCAAATTTCTTTTTTTTTAAAAAAGAAAAACAACCCTCGTTCTCTTCTCTTTGCAAACGCGCACGATTCGTTTATTTTAAAGTCTTCTTTATATACACATATATATATATAAACATATATCTTTATATGTATTTATATATATATATATGTGTGTGTGTGTGTAAAAAAGCGGTTGATTTCTCACGCGTTACGTTTTATTTTCCCTGGCGTTGCAAAGCTGCTTTTTTTTTGGGGGGGGGGGTTCTTGTCGAAAAAAAAATGGGTAGATCCTTTTTTTTTGCAAGACAGTGTATGTGCAATTAAGGGATTATTTTTGTGTGGGGAGTTTTTTTGTTGTTGCTGCGAATCAGGTGGCTTCACAATAGGGGCTGTGCCACCCACCTACTCTTTTTTTTCCCCTCCACCTCACTCCAGCGAGCAACTCCTTTCAAACAATGTATTGATTTTTTTTTTGTGTGTGTGTGTGTGTGTAGGGGGAAAAAAAGCACAGATAACGATCCTTAAGACAATTCGGGTTGATCCTGCTGTGGTCAGTGGGTGGGGGAGTCGAGAGGCACAAGATGTATGTTGCTGACATTGTATTGTGTTAAGCTGCAGTCCACCCAATTTTTTTCTGTTGCAACATATGGTGGCCAGTTGGTTTGGTGTTGAGAATGGTTCTCTCTCCCTCCTCTTTCTCTCCCCCCCCCTCTCTCTCTCTCTCTCTCTCTCTCTTCCCCCTCTCCCTGGAAGCAGCGACATTGGATGCAACAGGAGATGAGAGTGGAGCTGGGAGGAGCATGGTGTGGGATGGTGGGGGGATTGGGGGGTAAGGGGTAAGGCAGAGAGAGAGAGAGGAGAAGGGAGAGGGGGTTGTGCTGAGACTAAGCTCCCTAGACAGAAAATTTTAGTTTTCTATCCAAGCGGAACAAGGAAAGGTTAGTTCCACTCCTAGATCCCTAAGACCATTGTACTCTCTCTCTCTCTCTCTCTGTATACACTGGTGCCACCAGAATCCTATATTCCGTCCTAAGCAACTGCAGAAATGGAGTCCAAGCTGGAAAATTCCACTTACCAACTAACCTGGGGCTACTCTCTAGTTTTGATGAGTTGATAACCAGTCATTTACCAAGCAGCCTGCAATGTAACATTATCTCTCTTCTCCGAATTCTTCGGTTTATTTCACTCCTTTTCGTTCACGCTGTTGCAAATCTTCCCTACCCACAGGGAACTCGTTTGATTTTTTTTCCTTCCTCTTCAAGATTAGTTGCCTACAGTGAATATTTAACAAAGAAACACTCACTTGGATGATTTGTGTGTGTGTGTGTGTGTGTGTGGATTCCACACCAGGCAAATTTAAAAATAGTGAAAATTTTGAGGTTTACAATCCCATTTTTTGTAAATTCAGACAAAATGCTGTTCCTAGACTAGTTGCTATTAATACCATATGTTTAGCATTATATAAACACGGCAGCATATACTAAAACCCTTCCCCTTCCCCCAATCAGGCAAATTCTGAATAATGAGATATAACCAGAGGCATTTGTGTTCTATATCTTTTGAATGCTGCACATAGTTTAGCCTGGTTGCATCTAAGAAAAGCACCCTCAACCAACCCCCACCTCCCACATTCCTAAATCGCTTCTCTGTTATGTTAGGGTGGAGCTGCAATGATTTACAGCCCTGTACCAAGCTTTAGGTATGGAGCTGTTGCTTATTTATCATCCCTCTTGAACCAGTCTGCCACCACCACTCCGTTATTTCTACTCCCTCCTACACTTCCCCCCAACTTCCCATTCATAACTGGTAGGATGTATCTTCCACAAATATACAGTCAATTCACTTTACAGTATACTCTGGAAAAGTGCTTTGAGACCTCTCAAAGATTTGATAAGGTGCTATTTCAAATGCAAAGATTATTATTACACATTGCTAACATTTTGTGGCTCTTCAGAAAAAACTTATCTGCTACTGCTCCCAGTAGGTTTTACTTCATTTTACTCTGAATGACAGACAACTGACAAATGGGGACGAGTGGTTGTTCCTGTAGAAGTGCATGGACATTTTCTCAGCTAGCAGAGAGAATTACAATAACAGGTGTGCTACGGGGAGTGTTAGAGCAGATTGCTCCCCAGTGATCAGTGCAATCAAGCGTGGATTTGAGACCCACAATGGTCTTCATGACTTGATGGATTCCTGTATGGATCACCTTACACCAGTAGATTCAGAATTTGGAACAAGAAGGATGTCATCAGTTTCTCTTTGAGGTCCAGGTCCAGGTCATGCCCTCCCCTTCCCCACCACCCAAGCAGCTGGTTAGCCAATTGGGACCGGCCTTTTTCCACTATCCACGAGTGCATGAAATTAAGCAACTCCAACCTGAATTGCCCTAAGCAGAGCTACACAGACTCAATTTAATCAAAATAATAATCCTTGCCTTTATAGTGCTTTAATCACGTCTTCAAGGTGTCTCAAAGCGCTTCATGGAATATACTGTAAAATAAATTGACTGTAAAATACATCTTAGTCTTATCATACACTGTGTTCTCAACTTTGCTCAAGAAACAGCAAAGAAAGTTTGTAGTGGGAGTAGAGATTTTTTGAAGCCAGTTAATCAGAGACCACTGTGGAGATGTATAGAGTGAGTGCCATAAAACCACCAGCACAATTTATCTCCTCTCAAGTAGCCTGAATGGCAAGGCTGAGCAACCAGAAGGCAGGCTAACACATTGGAGTAGCTTAGTGGTTAGAGCACTCGCAAGCGAGAGGACCTGGGTTCGATTCCCGGCAGGATGAAACGTTGGGCAAGTTTCGTTACTCTACATGCCTCTTGTTTACCTAGTAGTATGCAGGAACCCAGTTGTTGTCCCTCAATCCACGACTGTTTGTGGGAAAACCGCTGTGCACAATTGAGTGTCACGCTCTGCCCACAAAATATACAGTCAATTCACTTTACAATATATTCCGTGAAGCACTTTGAGACGTCTCAAAGACGTGATAAGGCGCTATATCAAATGCAAGGATTATTATTATTATTGGGCTTGTCTACATCTTTGCACTGCAATACAATGCATTGGCATAGGCCCACACCTAAGTTTGACCATGACAACTTGCTGATGCATCCTATGTGCTCTCAGGCAGATCCCAGGCCAGTGTCCCACAGAGGGCAGGACACTTTCCCCTCCATCCACACCACTCCTCTATCTCCCAGTGACCGGCATGTAGTGGAGTACAATGGGGTGTGCGGTAGGGAGGAAAGGAATCAAGGGTGGAAGAATAATTCAGTTTTCAGAGTATTTCACTATTTTAAAAAAAAGTTAACCGTGTATTCCCCCCCCCCATTTCTTCCTTATTCCTTAGTTTCTTTCTGCTGCCGTTCCTCCCTCCCTCCTTAGACTTTATTGTTTTTAGAAAAGACCTTTCCATTTCCTTCATCTTTCATTGGAAAGTTCTTTCCTATCCATCCCTGTTCTGGTTTCTTTCCTTTTTGCGGGTTACGCTTTGCTCAGTTTTGCCTCTGATTTCTCCTCTGATTTCCTTGTTTGTGTCCCCCCGTCCCCCGTCCCCCCTATCTCTAAGATGCCTCATTCTGCTTGCTAACTCTGGTTATTTTCTTAACATTCATTCACACTTCATTTCAGCTCTGTGTGTGTGTGTATGTGTGTGTTTTTTTTGCTTACCCAGACTGGTGCAGTGCTGAAGGTTACTTTGCTGCATACTCCTTCAGCCTTTTCCTTCGCCCATCATCCATTCCAGTAAAAGCAGAAAAATTAAAAAGGAATATTTAACCCACACGTTAACCAGTTCTGATTACCACGTCTATCGCTCTGCAGGAAAGATCTAAAGCTTCAGTTGGGGAATTGTAAGGGATACACAACTGGATGGGGATGGGGTTGGGAGAAGGGGGGGGGTGACCCCCAGGGTCCTAGTGCCTGAAGAGTTTGAAGGATTTGTCCACAAAACTGGTGCTAACATCCTATTTTTAAGATAATCTGTCGTGGGTTAAACCCGCAATTATGATTCGGGAATTAACGTCCTGAGAAATAAAAAGTTAAACAGCCTCGGGATAGTTTTGACGTCAGTTTACCTAAAATCTCTGCTTTCCTGTATTTTTTTAAAAAAAGCAAGTTAAAATGAATATCCAGTAAATTCTTAACTCTTGTTCATGTTCCTGACTTACTACTTGAACTCTATAATCTTTTAGATTTCCTCTCGTTGGTACCATTTTAACACTCGTTTGTCATGATTAGTGTTTGCATGAGCAGAAATTGGAAGTGCACACAAATGTGGGCAGGAGAAGAGAAAGTTGATCCAGGTCTACATTTATTCTATTTACTTAACACTTGAGAGAGTCCAGACTCTGACATATTCATAAAAACAGACTTAATTTCGAATCCTGTTTTTCTGTTAAGGTATGAAATTCTTAATCCTATCACAAACACATATGCATGCCTTTATCTTTGGCCAGATTATATATAGTTTGGTGGTTTGGTTGCACGTTGTAATTTCTTGTTATAAGCACTCATTAACAAAAAATCACTTTAGTAATTTAACAGTTGCATTTATGGGATTAGTAGTAAGCATTAAGTTAAGTGCTTAACAAAATAAAATAGCTTACATTGTTCCGTACTTTAACAATGTGTTGTATACATTTTTTATCCTTTAGGCATAATAGTTGGGAGCCAGAGGAAAATATTCTTGATCCACGACTCCTGCTCGCTTTTCAAAGGAGGTGAGAACTCCATTTTACTATATTTTATCCTCCTTTCCCTCTGTTCCCTCTTGTCTCCTCTGGTCTTCTGTGTGACACCTTGTTTCCAAACAAGAGGATGGATTGGTGTCTGCAATACTGCCGGATTGCAAAGCACTAGGATCTTCCAAAGACTATCCCTGATTGCAAATTGATATTGATAATTTGCTTGCACCTTTTCCTTGATTTCTCTGTGCTCTTGATGAGAAGACTGGAGTTTCTAGTAGCCACAAGGCTACCCAGTCCTTTAGAACATAATAATAATAACCCTTGCGTTTGATATACCGCTTTATTGCATCTTCCAGACATCTCAAAGCAATTCACAGAATATACTGTGAAGTGAATTGACTATATTTTGTGGACGATACAAGTAAAACGTAAAAAGTTTTAAAAAAATAAGTTTCTTTATCACAGCCAACAGGAGAAAGAACTGCAGAATCGCAAGCGAGGCAAGAGACCTAGGGGCAGACCAAGGAAGCATGTGGTACGTTTCCAATTTTCCTTTGTCTTCTGTGGCAAACTAGCAGCGAATATTTGGTTTGTACCAATCATGGGTATAAAGAATAGAGATTCTTAATGTTAATTTTTTGAGCTTTGGGATGCACAACTGTGTGGTCTTGTCCTGTACATTTTTATGTTCCTCTATACAAACAAAACGATCCTTGGATTCACCCAAGACAAAGTAATGTTACATTTAAGTTGGATCAATAGAGCGGTTCCATTCTTCATTAAATCAAGATCTTGTTTGCACAAGTTTATTTTGTATGATTACCAGTGTAAATGCTCCACCTTAATTTTTATGAAAGGAATTTTATACTTGGTCACTTTTTATGTAGAAAAGAACTAATGGAGACTAATACCAATTTGGAATGAATAAGGATTTACCCCAGCCATGACTGCAAAGAGCATTATCATAAATATTTAACGACCGTTTCCCCCAGAGTTTCATTCGAGGAATTATAACTGGAGCCTCCTGTTGTTGGTCACATTTCAGTTCAGTTAAAAGTCAGCCATGCCTTCTATTAAGGGTCGTAAATAAAATATCACTGGCCTATTTATTAAGAGTGAAATTTTCCTTGATTTTAAAGGGACTGTACCAACTCAAGCTTCTGAAGTGCGCTCACTTTTTTGTAAAGCAAAATAAGAAAAATGTACAGTGTGATGAAGCAAGCAGGTGTCCACTGTGCTGACTGCTTGCTGCCTTTCTTTTGAAAATAGATTTGCCTATTGGAAAAGATTCTGTCTTCTACTTTGCACCAGCTGCAAACTGAGAAGGCGGTAATCTTCCACTTTTAAAATGAATTTTGCAAGCGGTAACCTAGTGCAGTCAACAACAATGGAACAAAAAGTGTCTTGAGTAAGATCTGTGTGTTTCACTCTATGGGGCAAACCATGAATAACAAGTATTTTTCTTCATTTTACTCCATCCTGACCGTAGGAACAAGAAGCCCCTCTTTCATCAAAATCCAGCAGTTCTTCTGAGGAAGAGGATGACGAGGATGACGATGATGATGATGATGATGAAAGTGATGATCAGACCCAGTCTGTGTCCAGGAGCAACGACCGCCGGGAAGAGCCAGACCGTATCGCGCAGAAACGGACTCAGACCGAAGTCTCCCAAACGAAAGCGGACGCAAAGGACACCGGCAAAAAGAAGCGGGCCAGCAAAATTATTCGCACCGACCATCGGAAGAACACAAAGACCAAACCAGGAAAAGCTTTAAAAACGTCCGGAAATGGCACAAGCGGCGACTCTGGAACTGATGAATCGTCAAAAGAAAAGGTGAGAAAACCAGAGGGATCTGGGAGTGCGAATAAGGTGGGATCAGAAAAGAGCAGTTTGGAATCTCCAAGTATAACTACTGGAGTGTTAAAATCAAGCCTCTTCAGTTCACCCAAACTCGGTAAACCCATAAATAATTCAGCCAGGTCAGCCTTGCAGACCACAAATCGTACAGGAATAGGTCAGCACTCTTCCAAAGTTCGTGCTGCCAGTCCATTGGTACCGAATAAACCTGTCTCAGCAATGCAATCTGCAGGCGCTCGAGTGCTGACCTCACAAGGAGCGAATGAGAAAACTAACCATGCGTTAAATAAGAACACTGGAAATACTAAGAGCTCTGTTGAGTCTGAATCCAATTTACACAACTCCAAGAGCTTGAGTAGTGCGGCACCGATGAAGACCAATTCTAACCTTTGTACTTCAGCTAAACCAGGATCCAATTCCCCGATTCTGAACAGTCCGAGTGCAAGCAGCCTCGGTCGGAATTTGCAAGCTTCAAACGCTGCTCATTCAGGATTAAATTTACATGCCTTAAAGCTTCAGAGTACCAACAAGGCAGGACTGAATTCAAAGGGTCTAAGTGGCCCAGGAGTAAATTTACCTGATTTGGGTTCAAAGAGCAACAGCAACAATTCGCCAATTGTGAATTCAAGGAGCATTGGGACTCCAGGACTGAATTCAACTGAATTGAATTCCCGTACCGTTGCTAATGCCGTGTTAAATTCACAAACTCTCAGTAGCCATGCACTATGCGAGAGCAGTGGGAAACATGGTGTTGAGAAGGAGAATCGGATGAAAGTAGATAGGGAGACTATAAACACTGCAGTCCATCACGCTGACAACCAAATCAGGGACAGCGACAAAAAGGAGGTCTCGTCTGAAACGCCCAAACAGAGCAGCAACGTGCCAACAGAACTGAGCACAGGCGAGGAGACCATGAGTTCAGATTCTGATCATGACTCTTCATTTTCAAGCACGGTTGCAAACCCGTCCATTTCAGTCCAGACAAACCAAGACTGGAAGCCCACCCGCAGCTTGATCGAACATGTATTTGTCACTGATGTGACAGCTAACCTGGTCACAGTGACTGTGAAGGAGAGTCCGACCAGCGTGGGCTTTTTCAACATGCGACATTATTAGAACACTAGCTGAAGACAAGTAAACTAGTCATCCTGAACTTTAAATCTTCCACTAGAGAACAGTTTGGTCTTGGGCTTTTAGTTGACGTTTTGTCTTCTATATCACCACTAAGTGACTCTGTAGAATGGTGCACAACTTGTAGGTTTTTACCCCTCTCCACCCCTACCAAAAATACAATAGTGCTTTGCTGAAGAGAAAATAAGTCCTTTGTGCGCCAGATCGTTTTTGTAAAATGTATCGACTGTTGAATCTACAAAAGCAGAGGCTTGTAAATATCAAAACCTTGAATGTCTTCTGTAAATTCAATAGAGAGCACGAGAGCTTTTAAAATAGTATCTATATGTGAGGCTCCGTTTTTTAAAAAAGAAAATTCAAGGTTGAAACACAGTGACAAACATTCTGAGAATTTATTTGGGGTTTTTGGAAGGGAAGTGAGCCGCAAAGGAGGGCTAGAGTTTAGTGACGCTATCTAGGCTTATACCATAGTCAGTGCATGAAGCTTTATAACTTTGGAAAACCAATAAAAACTGAAGCAAGTAGTAGTGTAGCCTGTTGCTGGAACAAATTATAATTACTTTTATTGTTCAAGTCAGGATATGTAAAGAACGCACTGCCCAATGGCAAATGGCATATCGGCACAACATGGAGCTGTATCGATTGAGTTGTGAAAAATCAGGGCAGCCTGGAGCCTCAAGCAATTGAGTACATGACTTCCAGACAGAAAGGCAGGATTCTCAGGCTTCCCATCACTCATCACACGTATGGTTCACTTGAGCGAATTAGGTCAATTCTCTGCAGGGACATGAGATGGGAAACACACAAATTAATGCTCTCTGATAATCAGTTGGGAAATGTTTTTGCTGGTCCTTAAACAGTAAAAGCTTCTTAATGGAACACCCATTTAATGGATATTTTATTTTCAATATTCAACAGTGCTATCATATAAACAGTGTAGAATGTATTTTAAAAAAAACAAGCAGTGCCTCAGCAAATGGTGCCTATGAATGAATGTTGCTGTTTAGAGGGTGTCTATTACCAGCATTACTGTAGTGACAAGCTATATATTTAGCCTGATTTCTTTGCAAAGCACAGTTCTTTAGGAACTAGGAGTGAGAAAACTCCAAATTGTCAGTAAAGGCGACAGTGAGTGCTTATAATGGAAATTTCCTGAAATATTTGGAAACTTAGCACTTGAGTTGGTGATTTACTCAATGAGCATTACCTGCACCTGACAGCATTTAGGTAATAATAATACTTCCATTCGATCTAGCGCTTTATCGAATCATCAAGACTTCTTGAAGCGCTTCACAGGATATACTGTAAAGTGGATTTGACTGTATATTTTGTGGGAAAAATGAAGGAATGTTCCACAAACAGCCATGGAATGAGTGGCCAATTTTATTTGGGCGATGTGTTAGCCACGACACCGGGAGAAACTCCCTTCTATTTTCAATTACTGCCATGGGATCTTTAACATCCAGCTGAACAGGCAGACAGGACCTCGGTTTAAAGTCTCATCCAAAGGACGGCACCTCTGACAATGCAACAACTTCCAGCACTGCACTGGAGTGTCAGCTTAGACTATGTGACTCGGAGGCGAGGGTAACATTGCGCCAAGCTGACAATCAAATGTGGTTAGTTGCTTGGTGGGGAGTTAAATAGTGGAGCATTTCACTGCTCGGGAATGGGAAGGAATGAGGAGACGACCATTGTGCATACGTTTTGATTCCCAGTCTTCACGGCTGAGCACTTGAGACATAAAATGTTTCTCCTTTGAACTTGTCGTGCAATCTCCTAGCTTCACAAATACTCAAATCCGTCCACTTTGTAAATATCCCTGCTGTTACGGTATCATAAATCCCACATTGCATGATGTTGAGACAGGCCTGAAAGAACCTATACATATGAACAGCCAAGAAAGCCCAGAAATAAACGTTGAGAGAGAAGAATAGTTAACGGGTCGCAACCCAATCCTGAGAAGTTCTTCTCTGCCTGTTCTTTTTCAAAGCAGTTGCCAAACCTGCACTACCCTATACATATCAAGCAAGACGCAGGTGCACAGTTTGGCAAGACTTTAATGAGCTGAGACGTAACAGCTACGAGGCTGATGAATTGGCCACCTGGGCTTGAGCGCGCATCATGGGTTGTATGTGCGTGGGATCATTATTTTTCTTTCTTCCTATTAAAAATGTAGGAGCGTTTTATTTTAAAAAAAAAGGCTTAATAATATCCAAAAAAAAAGAAACCTTTACTAGCAAACTTGGCAGTAACGAAAACAATGGTGACATTTGAAGTAAAATTTGAATAGCATTTTACTGAGCGGGAAGAGATTCTTTCCAGCACTGCTCGCGATAGCTATTTGTTCAGATTGTGTAAAAAAAAGTAATGAATATTTTTGTTTTTTTAATTTTTTTTATTGGGTCTTGGACACCTATTAAACGTAATACTTAGACTAACTCTCACTCATGTGACTGTAGGTTCAGCGTTAACTTAATTATTGTTAAACTAAAAAAAAATGTAACAGTGCTACTGTGAAATTGTTTTTGTACTCAAAAGTAGGTCAATAAAAATGTCAATTCAACATACATTGGCGTCATTTTTAAATTTATTTACTTTTTTTTCCTTTAAAATCTTCAACGTTTCCTACCTTCTGTTTCCTCACAGGAGTGATATGTCATCACACACACCTACCACTGAGAGGGCAGGAACTATGGTTGCAACTTCACAACAGTCACCAATGCTGCTGCTTGTTTGGCCAACAGGAGGTACAGTTATCACTCAGGATCCTCCACCCATCAGGCCACTTTTTTTTCTAAAAAAAAAACAAACAAAAAAAAATAGTCAACACTTGATTTCGAGGACACGAAGCAGAAATGGGTATAGAGGAATTGAACCAGCGAGAGAGAGGCAGGCTAGCACACAACTGCTTCTGGTACCTAACTGCAGAAGGCTCATTGTTTGAAGTCTTTGCAATGTAAGGTATTGTTAATCCAACAAGCAATTTGTTAAAGGTTCCACCCCACCCATCCTACAGGGAGGTCTGTAAGCAGAATTTTCTGTCTGTACTTTCCACACACTGCCCTCGCACAGTTGTGTACCTGATGGCTGGCAAGTACCTGACATGAAATAATCTGGTCACTGGGCTTCATATCCTCTCCCACCTCACTTCCAAATTCTCTTTGACAATGCTCGATATTACAGCACTCATCAGGGCTTTACAGACTGAAGTGACATGTACAATCAAATAGCAATATTCCACTCACTCAGCAGATATTGGAAACGTATCGTACACAATGGAGAAGTCCACCATGAGGTATTTCCCTTTAGTTTGGTTAACGCCTGATTTAGTTTTAAGACTCTTGAGTCGATTGGCAAACAACGTTTCTGTCTACCTGGCAAATTCAGTCTTTTCTAGTTCTCAAATCTTTGTGTCCCTCACACAGAGGGATTCACGTAGAGACCTCCGTCCAGATTTAAAAATGAAATACTTGCTGTACCAAAGTCCCAGCTTTTTAATCCCTTAGGTGCCAAAACATCACTTTAGTGAATTCTTGGATGTTTAGGTTTTCAAGTGACATTAGAGATTCTTCTTGTGCATTCATAGTCAACCACAATCAACACTGCCTCCTGCACGTTTTCCATTAAAGACAGAATACAGAACTTTCAAAAAAGTGAATATACATAATCTTGACTGCTGTAACCCCAAAGCAAAGTTAAACATAAATAAGGCAGTGTTTCAAGATGTTAATTGACTTGAAATTTAGCTTCAATATTTAAAGGCCTTTTTACAAGTGGAAAACTTTCACCTCCTGTGTTGTTTCCCCACCCCACAAAACATATCAGCTTGAAGATTTTATTTTTTGAAGTATCATTATAACTCAACTCCAAATTATGTTTCTATTCTTAGTTCTTTAGATGGTAAACATAGTACTTTATTTAGACATTTTGTAGCATTTCTTGTTTACACGAAGAGAGTATCCAAAATAAACATTGTTTGCAACTAACTAGCGTGTTCTGTTAGAACTATTGCATCTGTTTGACTGACATCCTGGGTTAAACCAGCATCCTGAACCTTTGACATACAGGAAGACATTGAGAATCTCTCAAGTTTACAAGGCTCAGTGACTTCCATCGGGTGATTTTAGTTTTTATATCTTGTCTTAAGTTCAGATCAATTGTAAAGTATTGTATTGCCAATCTATTTTTCACATTGATTATTTATATCATCAGTGTTAACCTGTTGATTAACCTTCAGAACATACACTTGAGAAGAGGGATCTGCCACACACGGATAGAGCTGGGCTTCTCTTCCTTCTTCGCCCTGTGTGTTTGAGGAAGCCAGAGCCGAAATATCAATTCAGCTCACAAATTTTTCAATCCGGTGTCTTGTGAAAGTCCAGTGCTTTGCGTTTTATAACTACCAGACCATCCAGCCTTGGGAAGATGATTAAAATAATAAATGTGAATGCAGGATTTAAGCAAACCTTTCCAATAATTAACTGTAACCCTGTGAAAATGTACTTCAATAAACCTATGAGTTTGGTTGATATTTCTTGAAACTTCTATAAGATTGCACACCCTGATACTTCAGTACTGTCAAATGATCAATATAGTGTGTGGTGTTATACTCTCCCAACCAATATAAGTGCAACAATACCAATTTTATATTGATATAGCACCTTTCATTGTTGAGTGGGTGTCTCAATAATAGATAGATTTGTAAATGAAAAACATGCATGTATTTATTTTGCTACTCTACCAAGTTTACAAATTTAATTTTCAAGTGCTGAACGTTGAAACCTTATACAAGTTACCATCTCAAAACATAATCTGAACATATAAACATATGAAAGGCTGGGTCCAAATTTTAGTGCAATCTCCAGATCAATGCAATTATGTGTAAATCTATTTTTCACATTGATTATTTATATTATTAGTGTAACCTCTTGATTAATCTTCAAAACACACACTTCAGATCATGTGCACTTGGTTCTGATATCAAGAGTAGTGTGCATTTAAAAGAAGCAGCATTTCAACAAGCCACACCCAAATCTCAATTAAATGTGAAATAAAGGGTGAATATTGACATCTATATTCAGCTTTCCAGGAAGAAAGGTGCATCAGGTGTCCGAATGTGAAGGGAAAGATTGGAGTTGCACAAGGAGATGGAGGAAATGGTGAAAGGTGCCGGACATTCAGTGATTTTGAATGAGGAAAATACATGCAATGTGTACATTTGCGCAGGAGTGAGAGCACAGTAAATTGGTGTATTGAATTTAACAAGATACTGCAGAGTTATGCTGCATTACAAACACCTGCTTGTGTGGTACTGACTGCACACTCGCATCAGAATAAAACAAGACATTACAGCACGTAACTAGGCCATTTGGCTCATGAAGCATATAGGTTTGACTCCTCCATTTGAACAGCATATCCCAATCACAATTCCTTTCACTTTTGTTGTACCGGGTGCATAGAAATAACCTAGACATCTGTCCTCTTCTTTATTTTACTGCAGAGGAATCTATGGGTAAACTTCCAACACTCCAAATCATTTCTGATTGGATCCTGTTCCTAATCTGGGTTTAATGTTTCTTCTAATAGTTTGTATGCTGAAGATTCAGCATTTACTGGATCTTATTAGACTCCTGTATGAGGGAAAAGCTAGTTACATATATAGACATTCTTTCAATATAAAGAGCTTCCACTCCCTCCTCCGTTAATGTATTCCACATCATGGCTTTTAATGACCTTTTTTTGTACTAATCCTCAATTGAAGGGTTCCTCCACAGAGTTCAAGAGACATGTTTCTATAAACCAGACAGCCTGCTAGTTTCTCAGTGTAGGTCAACTACATGGCAATTGGTGACTAGTGTAGAAATTTGTGTCACAAGAGAGGTTTGGATGAAGAAAGCCCTTTTAGCCCATTTGATCTAATACTTCCAAATTACCCGCTGTACCACCCATCTATTTCAGCATCAAGCCATTTCTTAAATGAGTTCAGCATTTTGCCATCAACCACCCTTTCTGGTAATCCATTCCAATTGTTAATTACCCTCTGGGGCATAGGGCGAACCTGCTTCACTTCCATTTCATTGTAGTGGCTGACTTCTGTGCATTGCAGAGGATTTAATTCACTAATGATTATGCTGCAAGAAAAGCCTTGTGGAAAGAACCTAATTTGCAGTACATGAGAGGCTGGTAGTTTTTAAAGGGTAAGTTGTCTTTCTTTCCTCTCCAGTTACTTTGTACTATAGTTTAAATCCCATCTTCAAAGTGAAAGTTAAATCCTTTACAGGTTTCATTGATTCTCCATCAGACGGCTAGATGAAACCTAG